AGATGCGAAGAACTTTTGACAGGCAAAGTGCAATATTGATAGGTGATTGCACTTTGCCTGTCACATACATCTCGACAGAGGCAACATTCGATATGAAAGTTTCCTCTGTCGAGAAACTTCCTCACACCTCAAGAGATGCGAAGAACTTTTGACAGGCAAAGTGCAATATTGATAGGTGATTGCACTTTGCCTGTCACATACATCTCGACAGAGGCAACATTCGATATGAAAGTTTCCTCTGTCGAGAAACTTCCTCACACCTCAAGAGATGCGAAGAACTTTTGACAGGCAAAGTGCAATATTGATAGGTGATTGCACTTTGCCTGTCACACACATCTCGACAGAGGCAACATTCGATATGAAAGTTTCCTCTGTCGAGAAACTTCCTCACACCTCAAGAGATGCGAAGAACTTTTGACAGGCAAAGTGCAATATTGATAGGTGATTGCACTTTGCCTGTCACACACATCTCGACAGAGGCAACATTCGATATGAAAGTTTCCTCTGTCGAGAAACTTCCTCACACCTCAAGAGATGCGAAGAACTTTTGACAGGCAAAGTGCAATATTGATAGGTGATTGCACTTTGCCTGTCACACACATCTCGACAGAGGCAACATTCGATATGAAAGTTTCCTCTGTCGAGAAACTTCCTCACACCTCAAGAGATGCGAAAGAACTTTTGACAGGCAAAGTGCAATATTGATAGGTGATTGCACTTTGCCTGTCACACACATCTCGACAGAGGCAACATTCGATATGAAAGTTTCCTCTGTCGAGAAACTTCCTCACACCTCAAGAGATGCGAAGAACTTTTGACAGGCAAAGTGCAATATTGATAGGTGATTGCACTTTGCCTGTCACACACATCTCGACAGAGGCAACATTCGATATGAAAGTTTCCTCTGTCGAGAAACTTCCTCACACCTCAAGAGATGCGAAGAACTTTTGACAGGCAAAGTGCAATATTGATAGGTGATTGCACTTTGCCTGTCACACACATCTCGACAGAGGCAACATTCGATATGAAAGTTTCCTCTGTCGAGAAACTTCCTCGAAACTCCAATTTTTCTTTAGAACTACAATATTTTAACAATTAGCTCATCAAAACACAACCTATAAACTTTAATTTTTACTTTTGTTTTTTTCAATATATCAACCAAATTTTTTTTTTCAAATTACTCCCACACTGGGAAAAGTATTTTAACTCAGATGTTGCCAGCCTCTTCATCATTGCATTAACAAGTGCTTTGACTTAGAGGTTGCCAGCCTCTTCATCATTGCATTAACAAATGCTTTGACTCAGAGGTTGCCAGCCTCTTCATCATTGCATTAACAAGTGCTTTGACTTAGAGGTTGCCAGCCTCTTCATCATTGCATTAACAAATGCTTTGACTCAGAGGTTGCCAGCCTCTTCATCATTGCATTAACAAGTGCTTTGACTCAGAGGTTGCCAGCCTCTTCATCATTGCATTAACAAGTGCTTTGACTCAGAGGTTGCCAGCCTCTTCATCATTGTAAAAATGTATTACCGCTTTTTTTTTTAATTCAATCGTAACATCTCAATTATCCCGCCAAAAATTATTGGGTCTAAATTGGTTTTTATTATTATTATTTTCAGAAACAAACTAACTTGTTTTTTAGGAATTTATCATTCATAAAGTCTTTATGATATATTTTCAACTTATAATGAATATGAAATTATAATTGTTATTTTGAAAAAAAATTATTCATGATCAATTCATGATTTAACCAGTTCCTTCAAATTAGGAGAGCATATTCAAATATAATCGCTCATTAAAATCAATTTTTATGTTTTTTTTTAAATCGAAATTATCTCATCATAAACCATGCAAACTGACTATTTGTTCTTATCACCATGTTACCAATATCAGAATTGTCTTTACAGCCAAAATTTCGCTCGATAAAAGTCCATCCAATAGTGAGATAATTGAGCAACGAACATTTTTCCATATCACAAAAACCTCCGCCGAAATCATCAATTGAAATTGAGTGGATACTGACCAGACATTCCGAAAAATTATTTAAAAATAACATATGATGATATCTGATCTAATAGTCCACTTGGAGAAATTGAAAATCAATGAAAGTGAAATGAACTAAAACGAAAACAATGAAAAATTCAAAACCTGATTGGTTTTCTAAAACAATTTTTATTAATCTCGGATCTATAGATCATAAAGAACGTACCCTGAGTTCAATAAATGACGACGAGAACGGTTTTTTCATTGAAATTGACCATACAATGTTTAAAGAGAAATCTGAGAAGTTTACATCGTCGTTTTTGTTTTGAAAATTTGAGACAACTGCATCGTTTCTCATATCACTTTAACAGAATGTCTGCCCAACGCGCATACAACTTCTCTGCTGGCCCAGCTGCTGTCCCACTCGAGTGCCTCGAGCGTGCTGCTGCCGAAATGACAAACTGGCGTAACTCTGGCATGTCCGTCATCGAAGTTTCCCACCGTGGCAAGCACTGGATGGAGGAGCAGAAGGAAGCTACAGAGCGCCTTCGCACACTCCTTCAAGTCCCAGAGAACTTCAACATTCTCTTCGTTGCTGGTGGTGCATCACTCCAGTTCTCCGCCATCCCATTCAACTTCATTGGTGAGCACAAGGCTGTCGACTACCTCTGCACAGGCACATGGTCCAAGAAGGCCTTCGATGAGTGCAAGCGCCTTGCATTCCCAGGTGTTACAGTCAACTCCGTTGCTGGCAACCCACCAGCTAACCCAGTTGAAGTTCCAGCTCGCGACACATGGAAACTCTCTGAGGATGCTGCTTACTTCTACTACTGCGACAACGAAACAATCCAGGGCATTGAATTCCAGCAATTCCCAGATGTCCCAGCTCCACTCATTATCGATATGTCATCCAACTTCCTTTCCCGCCCAATCACACAGTGGGAGAAGGTTGGCTGCATCTTTGCCTGCGCTCAGAAGAACTTCGGTCTTGCCGGCATGAGTGTCGTCATCATCCGCAAGGACATGCTCGAACGCCCAGTCAAGCCATTCTGCCCAATCACAATGGACTACAGAATCCAGGTCAAGAACGACTGCATGTACAACACACCACCAACATTCGCCATCTACTTCGCTAACCACATCTTCAAGTGGATCGAAGAGAAGGGTGGCCTTGCTGCCATGGATGCCCTCAACAAGGAGAAGGCTAAGAAGGTCTATGAGGCTATCGACTCAAATCCAAACTTCGTCAACCGCATCAAACCAGAGTGGCGCTCCCGCATGAACATGCCATTCTTCCGCCCAGACGGCTACGAGAACAAGGATCTTGACGCTGATGCCAAGTTCGTCAACTTCTGCACACAGAGAAAGCTCCTCACGCTCAAGGGCCACGTTTCTGTCGGTGGTTTCCGTGCTTCCTGCTACAACGCTTGCCCAATGGAGGCTGTCAATGCCCTCGTTCAGGCAATGAAGGAATGGCCAGGATTTTAAGCCCTCGGTATAAAAACTTAGTTCGATTTTTTTATTAATCTAATCCTTTTTTTATAAGAATAAGAAGAATTACTTTTTTGATTTAGTTAATCGTTGAATATATAATGCTACTTTGAAAGTTTCATTATTAAATAGTTATAAAAGGTTTGTTATGAAGAGTTAATGCGCCTCAAAATCATTAATTTTAAAACAAAATCTTCACGCAATATGTATTTTTCTAATTTGATGAATAAAATATAAATTATACTAATTATAATGAGGAATGAACTATTTAAAATTTTCTTAAAATTCCAAAAAAATCTCAAATTTTCAAATTTAAATAAAAATTTCTAGGATTTTATTTTCATTTTTAAAGAAATGAAAAAAATTTGGAATTCTACAACACTGTAATATAAATCCAAAATTATCGTACTTCAATTTTGTTACTCAAGTTTTTCAAATTATCTTATAATTCAATATCAAAAATTTAATTCTTTCTCCAAATCTTAATTTATTAATGATATCTTATTAAAATGAAGCATATAAACCGAAACCAATGAAAAAGCAAAATCATTCATTACCAATTAATAAAAGATGTCTCCACATAAAAATTTAACAAAACAGACTACATAGATGGTAATATATTACTCATAATCACAGTAAAAAATCGTAAAAAAAGTTGATAAATTGCTAAAACCAACCCTAAAATAAATGTCTTTTTTAGAAGACACGGAATTGCCTCTTATCGGCACCTACAGCTGCTGGCTTAACATGAATAACGTTAAAGTGTACAGTCTTAGATAATGGGCGGCATTCGGCTACAGTTACTAAATCACCTTCCTTGACGAGGAATGCTGGGGAAATATGAGCTGGGATCTTTGTATGGCGCTTCTCGAAACGCTTGTACTTACGGATCCACTGAAGATAATCGCGGCGGATGATGATTGTACGGCGCATCTTTGTAGAAACTACGACACCACGGAGGACACGGCCACGGATGGAGACTGTGCCTGTGAATGGGCACTTAGCATCGATGTACTCACGCTCTTCAGCTGTCTTTGGTGTTTCGATCTTGAGACCGATGGACTTAACATAGCGCTGCTTCTTCTCGGCATTAGCATGCTTCTTGGAGGCGAGGAAAAGCTGTGGCTGCTTCTGGAAGGCACGTTCAACTTGGACAATGGACATTTTGTAGAAAGGCCATGAAATGTAAACCATTCAATTCTTACTCCGGCCAAGCCTAAAATAAAGTCACTAAATAAACAACCAAATTTAGTTTGATATAGAAAAACACGCACATTTTATAACTCATCTTCAACCAAATCTCTATGAATCACATATTTTTGAATTAATTATTAAATTTAAAGTCAAATAGAAATCAATTTCGAGCCACACTATCCTATGGGCTAGATATCTTAAGTTTGGGTTAAATATTGAAAAATATAATTTTGAGATCATAAATATATGATACGTTCGGCGGGTAATTTTGATGTTATAGTTGTAGTACTTCTTTTCTTGCTATATGTGATAGAAATATTTAAACATTTACTTAAATTAATAAACAGCATTTTGATTTTTCGCCGATTCCACTGAAAGGATCAACATTCTCTGGAATGGTAATGTCTAGAAGAACTTTTGCAAGCTTTGAAAATGAAAATCCTTTTTCAGTATTTCCTGACAAAGATTCAGAGAGTTGTTCTCTAGTGACCTGTTTCTTAAGGACTTCAGTAATCTCAACTGCTTGATCTAAACTTAGTTTTCGTGTACAATTTTGATCGAGTCCACGAAATGCAATTTTAAGAATTCCTAATTCATCTTGATCATGCAAACATGATACTGTATTGATGCATGTCTGAAGATTAGCCTTTTGATTACATGCCAACATGCCATCAATAATAACGTCTTTTTGCTTGTCTGTGAGATCAAGTTTAAGATCATTGAACAAAGATGTTAACTGAGCTTTTCCAAGCTTGTTCTTCTGCTCAGGATCAAGGAGTCTGTATGATTCTGTAACTTGATTTATCTCTTCCTGTGTTAAAGGCATAAGATGTCACTTTTACAAAAAGGTGACAAATGAATTATTATTATGACTCAATAAGAAATTTTAAATTCAATGGGTATGATGAGCGTTATGACTATGATGACTCATCTCAAAATTTCAAGAATATGAGGCTAGAAGAGCTCACTTATCAAATGAAAGAAATATTATGTTTCAAAGAAGCTAGAGAAGCAATGGAGCTATCATATACAGGTATTGAAGAATATTTTCTCGAAGAACTTTCAAATTATATATCAATTCTGCAAAATCATCGCTCTGGTCTTCTATTTTTATATAAAATTCTCAAAAAAGCGAAATTAATACCACCAACGATAATCCACGATATTTTTAATATCTCAAAAGATTTAATCAACAACCCTGTTGGATGCCGCATTATAAAATTTTTAATTCCATTTTCTGATGATGAAATGAAGCAGGCAATAGCTCAAGACTGCTTAAAAGTCAAAAGCAAGAACTATTCAGATGATTTTGCCGCACTATTTACGTATTTTATTCAAAATCAGAACTACAATGTTGATCATTTACAAAAATTCTTTGATTTTGATTATTATACAAAGCATCCTAATGCTTTATTAATTGGTAGGGCAATTATCGAGTTTCACACTATAGAATCAGTTTCGAAAATGTTTTACATTTTTATTTCGAGATTAAATAAAGCAATTTTCTCGGAAACTCATATGTCTCTTGTCATATCATTGATATACAGAGTACCTGTAAAGAATGCCGTAGAAATCTTCCAGAAATTGGATATAAAATCGATGATTTTTCATGATTTTCAATGGAAAATCGTTCATGCATTGATATCAGTTCTTCCTTTGAGGGAGAAAGCAATTATTGCAGATATAATAGCTGTTTCTATTTTAGAACACATAAAATACGATATTCCTTCAAGAGTTGACCAATTATGCAAATATTCATTTCAGATGATCGATAGAATTTCAAGACATAACATTCTAACTTATAGGCCGCTTACGGATTATGATTTGAAACTGCCAATTTTCTGTTCTTTCATGGAAAATTTGATATTAAAAGTAGGATGATTTAATAAATGATTTTATCAACAATTATTTGCTGATTCAGTTCTAAATGTTATGATTGATTGCTAAAATCTAATTTCGATATTAAATTAAATTCTTTATTTAATGTATGATATTTACTCGATCGAAAAGCATTGAATGTTTTCGATTAAGTAGTACATGTCGTACATATTTTAGAAATGTTTAGATGAATTATAATTATAGGACATTTTAATTCTTTTCATCAATAAATTAAAATATTAAAAAATGTATCTCCGACATCGTTCATCGGTTAGGATAAGCGGTTCTCATCCGCTGGAGCGGGGTTCGACTCCCCGTGTCGGAAAATTTTTTTTCTATACTGAACAACACGTTTTTTTCCCCACATTAAAACTAGATTCACTTTGGAAATAAATTTAGTTTGTATGTGCCGATCATTTTTTTAATTTTGAATAAATTTAATGAAAACATAATTGCATTTTCAATAACATTGGTAAGGGAAGTGAAAAAAAAACTTGAATCTTCGAGTCTTGACTACAATGAGGCATAACATTCTGCCTTTTTAGCAATTCTAGAATTCTTATTAATTTCTTTTAGGAAAATGAATCTTTTTATGTTTTGAATGGGAAAGTGCAAAATTTATATCAAATATTAATTAAATTGGAAATTTTCCAATAATCCGACATCGTTCATCGGTTAGGATAAGCGGTTCTCATCCGCTGGAGCAGGGTTCGACTCCCCGTGTCGGAAAATACTTTTTTTCCTTTTTTAGCATTGTAGTTTTATCATCGATAGTTTTAGCAAATGGAAGATTGATACAAAATATATTGACTTTTAAAGGACTTTTAATAGCGAAATAAGTAAATGGTCTTAAAAATTGGTAGAATGATAATAATAATTATTAGATTCTAAAAGCATTAGATTGAAAACAATAAACAAAACAATTTTATTCAGATAAAACAGACAATATAAAAGAGGCAGAATCTTCCAATTCAGGGTATTCATCAAGAGCATTTTGAATAGATTCACATTCTATCAATTCTCTGCATTCATCGATGCTAAGAACTACCCATGATATTTGAGCGAAATATTCCAATAATCGGGCTGTAGCTGGATATACAACTAATGCAATATATTTTTCCGGATCATCAGTATTTTCAAATATCTTATAAACAAATATATGTCTATTAACTATCATATCCAATATACAATTTTCTTTAACTTGAATTATAGCTGTTGATATCATTAAAATAATGCTAATTTTGGTATTGTAATCAAATTTTTCTATAATATCTTCAATATTAGCTAAAAATTGTTCTGTTATAAGATGTTTTAGAAATTCATCAATTTGAAACATAATTGATGCTAAGTGAAATGCGAGTGATAGTATCTTGCTATTTGATTGAGAATCAATTTTTTCTAAAATTATGCTTATAACAGTACCAATATCATTAGTAAATTGAGTTTCAAGCGAAAATTCAGAAATAATTGAATAAAATGAAAGAGCTTCAATGGACCTATTAAATTCAGAATGTATTGCTAATGACCTTATTTGATTAATGCATTGAGGATCTTGAAGTTGAGAAACAACAATTTCAGGAGTAATTGAAGCAAAATATCGTAAAACTTTGATTCCTTGATATTCAGAAGGATAATAATTTAATGCTCTAGCAAATACACCAATAAAAAAGCACTTCGATTCTGAATCCATAAATTGATATTTTTTCATTACAATCATCTCTACTAAATTTAAAATTGATAACCATGGAATTAATAACGTTCTGTCGTTTGGGCATGAAATTGTAGATGAATCGCTTTCTCCATCTGAAAAGTATTCTTCATATTCATAACAACGCTGTGGACGAGGCAGATCATCAATGATCGTATCCAATAGTTTGTTGATCTTGTGAAACCATTTTCGATTTAACATGTATTCATAAACAGAAGGGTTGGCTTCTAAACAATATGCTAGGCTTTGAAAGAAGAAAAATTGCAAATTTGTTGATAGTTCAGCTTTGGAAAATAGAAATTCAAGATATTCATCACTCGTGAAGTAAGGAACAAGAGATTCTGGAGCTCTTTTTAGTATCTGATTAATTAGGTAAAGAGTTTCGGTAATAACACTATTGAGCATTCCGTTTGAATTAATAATGGGAAAGAGTATATCCCATAATTCGATTTCGTATAAGTATTTAATAATATCAATACAAGGATAATGAACAACAATTGATACCAATTGCTTCAATCCTTTGTTGATGTTATTTGTATTTGGCGAATTTAATATTTTTATACAATTGTCAATTTCTTCGATTTTTGCTTGCAATTCTTCTTCACTAAGATTTACAGATGAAATATTTTTTATTTCTTCTTGTATATGCTTTGAAGAAATCGAGTTGATATCATAGATCAAACCAAACTTATAATCATTCATCTTTTTTGATATTTTATACATACCATTAATATTTCTATAGTTAGTGCAGTTTAAATACATATTGATTAATTGCTTTCTGCATGATAACAGGTTTTACAAAATAATTATTCTTTGGATAAACTATACTTAGAATTAGCTCATTCTTCAAACATTGACTAAGGGTATGGATTTAGCAATTCTGCTAAATCATGACAATCAAATAATTATTAATTTTTAATATTCTTTTCTCTTATTCAATCAAAGTCTCACACAATACATCACTTATAAGATAACTAAATGATTCTTTGTTGATGTACATCATTCCATGATACCAGATTCATTTTGATCAGATTTGCAAGATATGTGGATAGTTTATTGGTAAAAAATGAAATACATCTAACAGACATGCTATTACATATTTTATAACCATGAAAAATGCATGGCTATTCATAAAGTATTGAAAATGTGAACGTTGGCCTTTTCGAAATGGCTGAGTTGCTTTTCATTTCTCCAATCGCTAAGAAGGATATCAAGAGACCATCATGGAGAGGTATCCCACGCATTTCTTTCACACGCCCAGCTGTCGCTGCTGAAGTCGATCCAATCGCTAAACCAGCTTGCAATGCTAAGGCTGTCGAAACACGCGCCAATCTTAAGGTCGGAACAGTCGTAATCATCGTTGGTGGTGAACACCAGGGCAAGCGCGCCGTTGTTGTCGCTGACCAGGGTGCTGGTATCGTTAAAGTTGCTGGCCCAGTTGTTCCAGTTAACGAAATTTCTCAGGACTACCTTATCGCTACATCAACATCAATCGATGTTGCTGCCAACGCTACAGAAGCTCAGGTTGAAGCTGCTGCCGCTAAAGTCCCAGAAATGGTTGATTACCTTAAGGCACCATTCACAATCAAGAAGGGCAATCGCATTCATTTGATGAAGTTCTAAAATAATAAATCTATATTTGTCTCAAGAAAATTACGAAATATTTTTGATTTTCGAGATTTACTTTTGTGCTGATGAAATTTTGTTACTTTTTACTAAATTTGATTTCGATCAGTACCATTAGAATGCTCCGTTTGATAAAATAATATGATTAAAGAAAATCTTTATCATTTGCTGTTTTTGATGTGTGGAACTTATAATAAGTGCTACCATGATTTAATGTATACCATAATTTCGATTGAAAAGTCTTTTCCTATTGTCTCACTCGAAATAATTTTGTGCTCAAAAATGTCACTTTTTGTATAAAATGAATAAAATATCTTATGCAAAACTTGTTTGCTATCATGTGTATATCAATATAATTTGAGTGAAATTTCTGAGAATATTTACAGTTCATAAATACAATGACTACTAGTTTATCCCATATGATTGCTCAAATTCAAGAAGATTTTAATAAAAGGCTTGATGACTTGGAGCTAGGGTTAGAGAATGTTTCCGAATCAATCTCAGAATTAGATAGTGAACAATTAAACAAAAACGAAATCAATGATCAAAAGGGAAACTTCTTTCCAGAAACATTTTCTGACGATCCAAACAAAGCAATTGACGAAATAATTACAGGAATTAAGATCTCAAATTCGAAAAAATCATCAGCAAAGAAACTCATTGAAAAAGCTAATAGACAATATGTTGATTTAGGTTTTCAACGTGCCTCTACTGAACTTTCTGCATGTTTGAAGCAAATGGTAACACAAGAAGAACAATCAATAGAAGATGAGATAAATAGACTAGATGAAAAGATATCAAATCTTCATGACCATATGAAAGAATCATTCAAAGAATTACGACAGATGATTGTTGAAGTTGCAAAATTCAAAGCGGAAAAAGAAGCAGAGCAACCAGCATATGCCCATGATAGAGGTTACCGCGGTAGAGGTAAGAAAGTCGATACAGGATTTCCATTATTGAAAAGATCTTTGAGAAAGAAATACTCTCCTGAGAAAGAAGATCAACAGAATAAAAATGAGCAAAATAAATCTCTCGAACTCGTTATAGGAAAAGAAAATGTCACAAATTTATCTAAAACTTTAATGGCCTATCAAAACAAGCTTAATGTATAGCTATATAAACTTGTATTGCGAATAAAATTGTTTGTATATAATGATTTTAAATAAAATTGAATTTTGTAAGCGTCATTTTTTTTTATTAATATACGATTTTTAAATTTGAAAAAATTTTAGTTGTTTGTGAAAACATCTGGGTGAAGGGCAACAGCTGTAGCACCGACTAAGCCAGCATCACCACCGTAGAATGGCTTAATAACCTTTGGAACGTGAATGTAACCGTTAAGAAGTTCCTTTGTTCTCTTCTGGATCTTCTCAATTAAGTATTCGCGTCCCTTAGCGGTGACGATGCCACCACCAATAACCATGTAGTCAAGGGAGTAAAGAAGAGCGCAGTTAGCAGAAAGCTGAGCAGCATATTCTGTGAAGCAGTCCCAAACTGGATCATCTGTGGCAATCTGTGGGAGCTGTTGTAATGAAAGGCCGGTTCTCTTGGAAAGAGCAACAGCAGAGATCATACCTTCGACGCAATCGCCGTGGAATGGGCAGCATCCCTTGAAATTGTCGTTTGGAAGGTGGAATGGCTTAAAATGTCCGCCTTCTGGATGCATCTTGCCGTGGAGTGGCTTGCCATCGCAGAAAACGCCAACACCGACACCAGTTCCGATTGTTGCATAAGCAACAGACTTGACTGTGTTGTCCTTTGAGTTAAGGTGAAGATATTCAGAATACGCTGGAGCGTTAACGTCTGTTTCAAGGACAACTTGGGCTTCTGGGAACTCCTTCTGAATGGAGGCGACAAGTGGATAGTTGCCCCACTTTGGCTTTGGTGTGTTGCCAATTGAGCCTTTGTAAACATCAAGTGGGCCGAATGAAGCGATACCGATACGATCAACTTCATAGCCAGAGGACTTAATACCTTCAACAATGGCTTCAACAGCCTCATCTGGTGTTGTTGGTTCTCTTGTCTTGATTCCTTTCTTCTTGTAAAGGAATGAGCCAAGATTCTCGCAAATAGCGAAGGCTGCTGTCTGTCCACCAAGTTCTATGCCGCAGGCATACTTTTTGCCGAAGTTGCGTGAAAGGGATGCAAGCATCTAAAATATTGAATGCTTTATCAATTAAATTTCGATAAGAGTTCTCAAAATTACACCCGTGATAATCTTCTAACTAAATTATATATAAACATAAGTAATCACCATTTATTAATAGTTTGCAGCTAATTAGCAGCTTTTTCGAAAAATGATCAAAATAAATCAGATAAAGAAAGTATTCAGTATTTGACTGAGTTATTATAAATAAAAAATCAAAATTCAATACTTCGGTACAATTTTGTTTGAGTGAGAATTTTCAAAAAAATCACAGGTGCGAAAATAAAAATACATATTTAAAATCGTATGACAGTAAATGATAAAACAATCGATCATTGAAAAGATTCACTCTGAAATCAAAATTAATGAGGAACATCAGTGCATTGACATCATTTCCACATCAAAATTAAAATGTTTTTATTATTTACACTTTTAAGAGTTTTGTGCCGATAAAAATAAACTTCAATGTAAAAACAAAGTTCATCATTATGGGGCAAAAGTTCAAGGTTTCTTCTTGTAATTCATGATGTAGATAGCACACATAAACAAATGCTTTTATGTCTTGTAATGAAGGTCTAAGATGAAAAAAATTTGCTCAACCTATAATAAATATTTTTGAATACATTTTGAGCAATCGAGAAAAAGTAACAACATTAAATCAGAATTAATTTACAAAATAGCCGTTTAATAATTTTTTAAAATGACTGTTTGCGAACAAATTCGTGATCTTCGATCAAAAATACAGCAATTTAGGGATATATTGAATAACCCCAATCGGTACAAAGATCTAGATATCAAGACAGAGGGAAATTATTCATATGCATATGTACCTCGAAGCCATTACAATGAAAATCCGCCAAAACCAACCAAAACATATAACATTCCATTTTCTACAACACAGAACAAAAATATTCAGAACAAATCTAATTTCCAATCAAAATTCTGCTCAAACGAGCCAAATAGAAGTCAATTTAGTCAAATATCTAAGACTACATCTGATAAACCAACAAATGTACTCTTACGAAACTATTATTACTCTAAAAAAACAAAACCTATACAAGAAAAACCAAAAACTAAACCAGTTTTATTTAGTTTAGAAGACACAAGCTCTGACAACGAAGAAGAGGAAGAGATAAGCCATGAATATTCAAGCGAAGAAGAATCTTACTCAGAATCAGAAAATTCTTATTCAGTAATTAACGAATCCCCTATTAATAAGAAAACAGTCTACAAGCGCACAATAAAAACTAAACGCAATCTTTCACAAATCTCAAATATCTCTGAAGAAGAAGATGAAGAAGAGGATTTTAAAGATAACTTCGTAGAAGCTTTAGTAGATAGTGCAAAACGAGCTCTAAATGGAGAACAGCTAGATTATGACATTGATTCATCAAAAGACAATGTAATTATCTCAAAATGCCCAAGATTAAAGAGACCAATTGTTGTAGGAAAAGAATTTGATGATTTAATGAATGATATCTCTAAAAACTCCATTAAGAATGATGATATGGATTCTGATTCATCTGATTATTCAGATTTGCAACCAATAATCAAAGTTAAGCTGAAAAATCAAAATCCCAAAGAAAAATCGTCAGAAAGTGATTCTGGAATTGATGAGGAAGGGATAAATAGGTTGGTTGAGTTGTATGCAAATTATCCTTCTTCAGATGAAAAGGAATAGCTTAATTTTTACTTTTGTTTGTTGATATTTGTTTATAAAAAATAATTTATTAGTAATAAGTATTTTTTCTCGTTCATTTTTAAGTGCAATTTCATCTGTCATAATGAACTGGTTTAGACAGCAGAAGCAAACAGTTGAATACGAACTATTTAAAATTTGCAAAATATATTTTAAGTACTCTATTAATGATCGTTTAAACAACATGTACTATTCTCATAATAAATACTAACTTGATTTAAATCAATCTAAAAATTCACAATTTGTTGAAAAATTTGTAGAATTTCACCAATATTTGAAAGATTTGTATATAATAATGAAAAGAAAAAGAATCATTAGATAGTACAATTTATAATCAAACATTTATCTATAAAAATTTACTTACATCATTATGATATTCATTTCCGCTTGTATTTTTAAATTCTTCTATATCATACAATATCAAAGCAGCTAATTTATATATTGATGTTGCAGTTTGTTCCGGTTTCCATTCAAATAATTCTCCAATTACTTCAATATGTTTCAAAGAATGAATTGGACGTCTATAAATGTATTGTAGAAGTACATTGTATTCAGCCGGTCTCTGTATTACAATTATTTCCGTCAAATACTCTACCAACAACACCTTTTCTTGTTCAGAATGTTCTTTTTTCAAAATATTTATTATTAATTTTTCATCTTCGCCTTTGCGAATGATATCAAATATCAATTTCATATCTGCATATAAAGGAAACATGTCTATGATACCAAATTCCTCTAAATCACTGACAATTTGGCTATGAGATCTTAATTTCGGCAAAAAAGCATATTCCAGAAAGAAATCGGTGTTTTGGATCATTTGTGTCTTGTTAATTCTCCTTAATTCGCCAATAAATCCAACAAAAATATAATTATCAAATATATTTTTGTTCAAATCATCAATGCAGCCAAGAACATACAAATTGGCATATATGGCTCCTATTTTATTTAATCCACTTTCAAATTTGCGGCTTATTTTTTCTAATTTTTTGATTTCTTTCAGAGAAGACTCTTTGAAAATGAGATTATCGCTTTGGATCAGGATTGGTATTAAACCAAGACCTTTGGTGAAGTCCTTATTTGGCGACATTAGCAAAGAAGCAAAATAATCAAAAGTCATTTGAGTATTCCAACGTGTTGGGATCTCATTGGTGTTAATAAACTTACTTAGTATAAGAGAGGACTTTGTTTCTGGAGGAATGTCCGTTAAAATTGTTTCTTCAATTGAATTTACGTTTCTATCTAAATAACCAGTAATTTTATTGGCCGAAAACTCATCTTGAAAGTCATACATCAGGAATTTGACTTGAGAACGAACATTTGTCAGTTGTTTGACCAAATTAATTATTTTTGTCAAATCTTTCTTGAAATCAGAGTAATTCTCGTTCATGTAATGAAAGCAACATCGAAATAGATAATATATTCCTTCAACATTGCGCTCTGTTAAATCGTTTTTTAATCTATTGAAAATTTTGAGGATTTGGCTAATTTGGATGAGACCTTCTGTAAGTAGACACCCTATAAATTGAAAGGATCCATTAGTTAGTTCAGTATTTTCAAGTAATCCCTGATTTATCAATTCATATAAATCTTCTCTTTGCTTTATCGTGGGTAAATTGTCGATTATTATATGTAAAAATCTTGCGTACACACGAGAGAGTGCATTTTGTTCAGTGGATGTAGCAAGCAATTTTGATGAAAATGTTTCTATGAAAGATTCTGATCCAAAATAGTCTTCGTTGATCAGATCCATTGAAGATTTGACTATTTTGTCTGATTTTGTTGTTATTTTGTTTAAGATCTGGTTGATCGCGAATAAAATTTTATCATCTGGAGGAGCAAACTTTCTTGCTTGAAGAATGAGTTTCTTCATAGCTTCTATTTCTTCTAGAACGTCCTTTGATGTGACTTTGAGATGGTGCTGAAATGATTTTACTTGATTTAGATCAAATTTGATTGGAATATTTGCAAAATCAATTTGAAACTCCGATATTTGTAATTCTGGAACATATGCAGTATTGGGTGGCTTAGATTTTGGCATTTTATTAGGTGGGCCGCCACCCCTCCCACCTTTCATTTGAATGAATAATAAGATTTTCACTCAAGGAAGCAAAAACATGTATAAATAACCAAGTAAAATCATTTTATAGTCAATTTTGAATGCCTTGATCCTAATATTAAAATAAAAATAACGAACTTAGTCTCCAATTCTATTTTTCCCAGTGAGATTCTTTCAATTTTCTGGCATACTGTAAGATATAAAGATTTAAACCATCAAATTGAATTTAATTTTTAGATTTTTTAATTTCTTGTAAAATACACAAATTCATTCGTAAATTAAAAGAGTTTGCTTAAAATCATACAAAGAATTATTATTTTTTTAATCATATTTCTTAAAATTATGAGTAGCTTTCTTTCTCTGGAAGAAGAACGCTATATAAAGTGCTAACTCTATAAAAGATATTACATACAAGAAGGTAGGAAGCCACATTGACTTCATTTCTTTTGCTGATTCTTTTGTTGAATTTGTAAGAGATTCAGCATCTTTTACCTTATCTAAAAATTTCTTAAGCTCTGAAACAGAAGTATGTTTGGCCGTTTCCATTGAAGAATAAATGTTTGACTCAAGTTGGTTTAAATCTACTTGAATTCCGGCCTTTACGCGTTTCATACTATCATCAATCTCTTGTAGTAGCTGTTTACGCTTGGAAAACTTCTTTTCAATGCGGCTGAGCTTAGTTTTGATCATTTTATCAATAATTGATTTTAATCCTGTAGAGTTGAGAGCATTTGTAAGACTAACGTTCATTTCAGCAAGAATGATGTCTATGTACTTGAAATATTCTGAGGAATTCGTGTCTTCTGGAAGAGAATAAGAAATTCTAGTTGCTAAAGACATCGGCTTCTCTTTTTTGGTTTTTGGATTGACAATTCTCTTAACAAGTTTTTCGAGACGTGTTGTATCGAATTCTTCAGAGTAATTATAAGGAATAGAAGTATTGAAAGAATAAATGCGGGCTTGAGCGAATTCTTCAATCGGAAATGCAGTTAACGTAAAGTATCCAACAACTAAGTATGGGAAAACATGCTTTGAACCGCAATCTTTCCATTTATTTCCATCAAAGTACTGAACAGTAGCTTCATTCTCGCCAGATTTAACTTTTATGACAGGGTTCGTTGTGTTGATAAGGCAAAGGTCTTGGGTGTTATATGTGTAATCATTTCGAACAATTGTAAACGAAATATTAAGTTTTTCATTAGATTCGTTGAAATTTAAACTAAATCCACGCCAATATCCACCATTGTAACGATGCACAATTGGGCATGCATCTTGAGTGAATAAATAGTGGAATGAGCCCGAAATAAGGGAAACATTTAATACTGTTTCAAAGTTTTGATATGACGTAGGTATACGTGAGCATAAAGCGCCGTTAATTTTATTTTTCCTTGAAGTAATATGAATATGATTCTTTGCGTTTGAAGTTGAACCAGCAACAGACCATAATCCGAATTCACCAGGTGCAGTGTTTTTAAATGGTGGATAAAGATTATAGGTAATTGACTGACAATTGCTCAATAAAAAGATAAACATTGAAATTTTACTAAAAAAGTGACAAATCAAAAAAGAGAAATGATATTTTAGTTATTTTCCAAAATATTCAATTAAATTGCTAATAAGCACATCAGTTTTCGTACTTCATGCCTTCCAAAGTTTCTTAAATTTAACATACTCTTTTTTGGTGTTGGTGGCAGAAACGTGACTTTTGAAGGTAGAATCCTAATTCCTGCTGATAATTGAGATATAAAATTAATGCAAGCATGGCTAACTAATCATTCCCAATCTTGTTTGCAAAGTTTATTAGCTTCAGTTCTCAGATTTGTGTCAAAAAATTGAGGATATATAAGGGAGAGTATCACCAAATTTCATTAAAAACATAGGCAAAAGTACCATGCGTGCGTCATCAGACATTAGAAATGCAGTCCCTTAAACTTATGCAATATGTTAATTCTTGGAAAACATATAGATTTTGAAGAACTTCAGAAGTTAAAGATTGCCAAAATATTTGAGAGTATTCATTAAATCTCATATAAAAATTGCTTAATCATTCAGACATTGGAAAATCCAATCACTTCAAATTATTTTGGGCATTATGATTTCATTGAAAAAAGGACCCAAAAAAATTTGAATTGATGTGTATATATATAAGATAAAATATAATCAGATATTGCCTTTTAATATAACATGATATTAGAACAGGTTAATTTTCTCTTGCTCCTGCTTGAATAAGAAATTTTGCGACCTTTATATGCATATATGAATTTTCCCACATCTTTGCAATTTTAAGTGGAGTTTGTCCTTCGTTAGTTTTATCATTAAGATTGGCACCAATTGAAACCAAATATTTTACAACTTCCAAATTACCTTTTTGAACTGCATAATGAAGAGGCGCATATTTTTCATCTGTTTTATCATTTATATCACAACTGCATTGAATTAGATATTTAATTATTTCGAGGTGACCCTTGTATGCTGCGATGATTATTGGAGACCATCCATCATTTTCTTTTTCTTTTGGATTTACTCCACAAGAAACAAGATATTTAATTACGTTAAGGTGACCTTCTTTTGATGCCAAGTAAATACAATTTACATTATTTTTCAATTTAGAGTTTACATCACAACCAATACTTTGTAAATATTTAAGAACTTCAACACGACCGTGTTCTGCTGCAGCCAGAATTGCATTATAGCCACTTTTTACATCCTGAAAACTCTTGTCAAAACCAATTTCAATTAAATATTTTACGATTTCAAGATGTCCTGATGATGCTGCCCCAATTAAACAGTTATTTTCATGCTGATCAAGTGTATCTCTATTATAACCTTCTTCAATAAAAGTTTTTAATAATTGAAGTTCTCCTTTAAAACATATAAAATTAAAAAGAGGACATCCATCTTCGGATTTAATATCCCATAATCCACATACATTTGCAAGGCATAGTCTTGCATTGTCATGCTTATCTGAAAGCTTTTTAATGTATTTATAAACTGTCTTAAAGTCAGCATTCAAAGGTAAACCAGCAATTATTGCAATATCATTAATACACGAAGCCAATCTGAAAATTTTGTTATTTTTGAGGTTAGTTATATCTTTAGTTAAAATTTCATTGTTATTTTTTAGGTTTGTTATTTCTTTAGTTAATTTGTCATTGTTATTTTTGAAGTCCATTATTTATATAGTTAATTTTTCATTAAAATTCTTCAGATTGGATATTTCTCTCTTTAAAATATTGTTTTCACTTTGAAATCGATCACTGTTATTCTTCAGATTGGATATTTCTCTCTTTAAGATACTGTTTTCACTTTGAAATTGTTCATTGTTATTCTTCAGATTAGATATTTCTCTCTTTAAATTATTGTTTTCGTTTTGAAATTGTCCATTGTCATTCTTCAGACCGATTATTTCTCTCTTTAAAATATTGTTTTCACTTTGAAATTGTCCATTATTATTCTTCAGACTGATTATTTCTCTCTTTAAAATATTGTTATCGTTTTGAAATTGTTCATTGTTATTCTTCAAATTGGTTATTCTGCTCTCTAAATTACTTATTTTGCTTCCAAATTCTTTATTGTTGATTGTAAGATTTGATATTTCGTTTTTGAAATTCGAAGCTTCGTTTTTGTATGCAGTATTCTCTTGTTTCAATTGATTAGCTTCATTTTCAAGATTCATGATCTTGTTTTTTAAAGTTTGGATTTCGGATTGCAAATTTGCAACTTCTTGGGGATTTGTACTGTGTTCCGTTTTATGATTCTGTAAATAATCAATTAAGCTACTAGAAGATCCAAGTTCTAGAATATTTTTGTATATATTGAGAACATTAAGAACGTCTTCATATGAATTAACAGAAACATTGCACATTCGAACAAAGTAATAAAGCTTTTCAGCTTTATATTTTGTTTGGCCTTGAGAAAGAAGAATACTGAAATCATTTGTGTTAATAGATGTTTGTTCTAATATTTTAGGGATATCCTCTTCGTCAAAAATATCAAAAAGGGTTCCCTGATCGATGTACGATTGTATATTTTCCGCAATATATTGAAAATTAATAGTTAGACCTACGCTCATAACAAAAAATAAAATAAAAAAATGCCAGCAATTACGACTCTCATATCAAAAGTGTCAGAAAGATTAACCAATCAATCTAATCTGAATTTGCTCATTAAAAAACTTCAAAAATTAAAACAATGATAGAATTTTTTAAAAAATTATTTCAATAAAGGTTCAATAATCTTTTTGTAATTTCTTACTAGAGCCATCAAGTGTTTATCATTCTTAAATTCACTTGGAATATGATGTAGAGACTCCTTTATGATCTTTAATTCTTCAGGTTTATTATGTTTGTTAATAATATCATTTGGACTCATGCTTTTCATAGCTTCAAGCCATGTTGATCTATATATATTCTTACTTCTCCATATTTTCCATGATAAACTCGTATTAAATGCAGATGCGGCTTTTTCATCGTATTTCACGTCAGGACTTTCATTAACAATAGATTTAATCAAAGATTCTGGTATTTGGAGTGGTATAATGTCAGAAAAAGGATCTTCTAATAACATATCATCTAATGCAGCTGTTATCAGATACCTTGAGTACCTGTTTCTATTAACAAATGGATTTCTATAATCTGGGTAATCACAAACCTTCTTTGGCGATATGCTAAGTATACAATTAAAATATTTCATGCTATCTATTTTTTCTGCAGGAGTACAAACTACTTTGAGATTTGTTGCTGGTATATTTTGTAGTCTAGGATCTTTTTCGGGCATCCAAAGCGCCATTGGTCCAAAAAATTGAATCGGAGAAAATAAAGACAAAAGCGAGAACATTGCTTTATTAGCTGTATGAGGGTCATTTGCAATGAGAAGTATGGCTTCATCGCGTATTAAGCAATCATACGCTTGTAAAATTTCATTTGGAGAAAAATATGCCCAAAAACCATATTGGCCAAATGTATAGTGATCCTCTGATATGGAAACGCTTGTCATACCTGCAGGAAAGTTTAATTCGATATCAGTTTTTAATTCATTATCCCAAGTAGCCAATAATGATGTAATATACGCAAATCGAAGAGAAGGATCGTGAAATTCATTCTTTTCAAACTCATTGATCGCTTCCTTTAAGAACTCTGTGAACAAATATGAAAATGGAAGCTTACTTTCTATTGAAATAACGTAAATTGTACCTTCAATGGGAAAAGAAAGTGAAAAGTAAAAGGTTTGATCGATGTTAAATGTAAATACAATAGGTTTCTCCTTTGATAAGCTTCCAGGATAGCAATCAATCGAAAAAAGTTCTTCATTTTCAAGTAATTTTGCACCTTCAGGATATGACTCGACAATAGACCCTTTATTTCCGTCAGATATCGATATTAAGTATGAAGATTCATAAAGTTTTTGCATTGAAATTTTGTTGATTCTGAATTTTTTGAATGAAAATTACAAAATAAGATTTTGATATTCAACTCTTTAAGATTATAAAACTCACATGAATGTTAAATCATGTGTCCTAAAAATTATAGAAAAAAAGTTAATTTTGTCTTTAATTTTTTAACAATCTTGACATTAAAATCCATCAGAAGAGTTATTTTGCAAGGCGAATGAATTATATTGGTATGACTAAAGAATTGACAATTTCAAAAAAATTTATATTATATATAACAATTTAAAAAACAACAATACAAACAAAACTATATCATATAAACAGTCTTTGACTTCTGAACAACGCTCTGCGGATGTGGTTTGCGAAGTGGAGGAAGAAATGTAGTGGCTGATAACTTCTTTTCAATTCCTGGGTGAATAATTGAATAAGAAACTTTCTTCATTGCGCTTTCCGGATACAATTTCTCGTAAACGTGAATTCCGTCGACGTAAACGATAGTTGCGACGTTTCCGCCTTCTACGTAATGCGATGATGAGAAAATAGAGATCACCTTTGCAGAATGGAAAAGTGTTGCGCCGTTTGGAATATATGTATGAGCTCGAATAATATATTGCATTTTAGATCTTTGCAGAAAATAGTCTGTGGCTGGTAATCCGAACTGATGGCCTCGTCCTCGAGGGTTTGATGTATAATAATCATTGGTATTTGAAGGGTCAGACCATAAGATATCTTCTATTAATGGAGTTATCTCCGTTATTGGTAATGATATATTAGTCAGACATGATAGACTTGTTAAGTGACGGGAAATACCTCCATGAACACAAAAATACTTGTCCTCGATTATGCCAGCAATTGGTAAGTAAGAAAATACTGTATAGAATTTAAGTTTCAAGGAATTTGCGCCAAACATCTCTCGGAGTTTTTCATGAAAGCCATATTGCTCACATACGTTTGGATCTTCATGATTGCCTCGCAATATCTGAAAATTTAGGGGAAATAGATTATGAAGGGAAATAACTAACAGGATTGTTTCAACAGGGAATCTTCCGCGATCAATGTAATCACCTAAAAATAAGTAATTTGATATCGGTGGGATTCCATTTCGATTTAATATTCTTAATAAATCAAAGAGATCGCCATGTAGATCTCCAACTACGTAAACTGGAGGAGCAACGTTGATAACAGTTGAATGAAATGTATTATTTTGCAAATATTCGTCCAAAATCCCGTTTGCAAGGTCTAATGATATTTTGGGAATGTGCTTTTCAAGATCTACTGGAACTCGGTTCTCTCCAATTGTTAAAAGATTTAAAAACATCGACATATATTCCTGAGATTTTCGCATTATCGAAATGCAAATTTTTCAATTGGATCTTTCAAATTCAATACATTTGAATAATTTTACATTATTTTAAACTGCATCCAAGCAAGAAATGAGCACAAATATTTTTTTGACATAGCATCCTCTGAAAATATTTATTCAAAAAGATACAAAGACTCTACATCATATTAAGTATGCAGTAATTTGACTTTTTTAAAATTATTTTTCTAATACTCTCTCACAATTTTTCTAAAAGTTAAATCAATATAACTTCACAAATGATAAAAATTCAAATAAAAAAATAAAATATCTATTGCGCTAACTCATTTATAATATCATGAATTCTTCCTCGCATATGCAATTTTTAGAATATTTCAAAATTCAGCTATTGAAAAGTCCTCAAAATTATTTATGTTAAAATATTAGTATGTAGATCTAATGCAATAATTTTAATTTTACAAGGGATAAAAAATTCTAAAGCCGTGTACCATTCTATAGTTAGTCATTTGATAATCACTCGGAAAACGTTGAGACCCGAGCTACAGATAGCAACATAGTAGAATAACACTGCAAAATGCAATTGTTTCTTTCAAAATTTTGACCGATTAAAGATAGGCATTGTTTAAACCAGATAAAATGAAAGTACTTTTGGAGAATTCTAACAACGTTAAGTAAAAGAACTATAGAACTCTTACATAGTGGGAAAAATATTTATTAGGGGGAGTATAATATTTTTTGAGGAAGCAATTTTTTATCGTCACAAATAATTTTTTTTCATGGGGGCGGAACTATCGAGTATGAAGCTTGATGCAGGCACACGATCTTATTCAGTCGATGTGTACTCTCTTGTTTCCGGCCAGAGATTCTTGTTTGACCGTACTCAAACAATTTCACAGAAATCAATAAATTCACAACATATTCAACGAAATTTAGTAACTCCGGAGTATCAAGCAGATTGGACGGTTACATTTGATAACTCTGTTACACCTTGTCCACGAAAATATCAATGTTCTTCTTATTCTCCCGAAAAAGATATACTTTTCATAGCATATGGTCAAGGTTCGAAAGGCCAATATCTCAGTGACTGTTGGATATTAGATTTCTCGACAATGAAATGGAATAAACTCGCCCAAAATTTACTTTCGCCTCGAGCCGGGTCCAGCTGCATTTTTGTTCAGGATAAAGTGTTTATTTTCGGTGGAGAGCACCAGGGAACTTATTATACAGACCTACATTCAGTAGATATCAATACAGGAGAATATAAATTGGTTGAAACTACCGGAATCAGCCCTGAAGCAAGATCAGGATGCGTAATCAGCTACTGGAAGAACAAGTTATACATTTGGGGAGGTTTTAATTCAAAAATTTTGAATAATTTGTACGTTCTTGATATGGACACCTACAAATGGACAAAAATCGATATACAGTTCCTCGGACGTGCTGCTCCTGCCTATTGCACGGTCGACAATAACGTCTGGATCTACGGATCTACGAGAAATCAAGGTTTGATAAAATTAGACATGGAAACGAATAAGTTAGAAGCGATCGACTCCTGCGGAAAAACACCACCGATGGATAATCAAGCCGCAGTTATGATAAGATTTGAAGATTATTTGGTATTTTTCGGCGGAAGGTGCGAACCAGAGAGTTACTCTCTTGTTTACGCGTTCTACATACCTAAATCTCAATGGTTCACACTGCATGTTCGTCCAGATTCCGATACTTTGACTTTGGCCGACGGAATCGTGAATGAAGACGGTCAGTTCTTACTTCCAAGCGAACAAGGTTTCTCTGCGTTATACAAAGAGAAGGACAGAACTATTTATTCTATATTTGGCCAATATTGCAAAGCTCCATTACCGATTTACACTTTGTATCTCGGAAATGCAATATCATTCTTGAATCACAGGAATGATATGCTTGAAATGTTTGTATTTTCGTCATAAGAAAGTTCAAAAATTTTAAGATCAACAATTTATTTTATTTTTTTTATTGCTGTATCTTTGAATTTTTGATCTACTAGATATTATGTATGTTTCATAGATATTTTTTGAGCATAGACATCACAAATATAGAAAATTAATTCCAATTGGATCAATATATGTCAAATCGAGTAAATGGAGCTTCTTACTGAACTGTTAAACATGTAATTCTTAACCAATACAATCACAATATTTTCAAAAATTATATATCAAAATCATATTTTTTAGGAAGAGACATGTTTTAGAATTTGCATTCAATTTATGGATGACAAATCTACAAAATTTATCTCAATTTAAATGTCTGCAAGTTTTCATTGAGCATGATCCGCTAAGAATTTATAAGAACATGTAAAACTGCAAGAAGTTGCATGGCATATCCTATTTTTTATATATAAATGGATATTTTACATTGATATATTCCAAATTATGAATAATCGCGGAGAATAATTGTCAAAAATTCAAATATATCGATTTAAATGACATATTCAATAGTTAAATAAGCGATTTTTTTTAAAAAATTTATTGATTAATTGAAAACTGTTTTGATGTTGAGGAAAAAAAACTAACAGTTTTTGAAATCCAATGTCAGGAGATGAGCTTGTACAAAATTATGACTATATTGCTGCCAACATTAAAGATTATATCGAAGACGACAAGTTAGTCAGTATTTTTGAGCTAGATGACGTCAAAATAATTTTGGAAGGAGCAAATTTAGCATCGAATGATTTTATTACTTTGATGGATCAATATTCATCTAGAATTACCACACAAGAATTATATAAAACTCTTCGAAATGCAAATGTTTCCATTGAGGATGATCAAGAAGTTATTTCAACACTTGTAGCACTTAAAAAATACATGAAATTAGGTGCACTTGATGGAATAATTAATTACCTTAATCAAAAACCAAAAGAAGTAGCTGATTCATCAAAAAGAATTTCGGAACTTGAAAATTCAATTTCAAGAATCCAAACAGAGTTAAATGATATCCGAAATCATAGCCAACCGAAGGAAGACGAATTACCACCAGCACCTAAACCTCAAACAGCAAGAAAGAATGTTTCAGGAATCGTTGTAATGACAGAAGAAAATGAAAGAGAAAACATTATAAATATAATTGCAGGATATAAAAACTCTAATGATTTCGAAAGTATCTACAATTTCATGAATGATCTTTCAGAAAATGGAAATCAAGAAATGCTTAAAAAAGCATGTGAAAAAGGATTAAATGAAAAGAAAGAAAAAGAAAACGGAAATAATGTATTTATTGAAGCATGTGATCGAGGAAATCTTCAATTAGTTCGTAATTTATTTGCTTGTGGATGCAACAAAGAATCTAAGAATAATATTGGGCAAACACCTCTTATTCGTGCATTACGTTTAGGTCATCTTGATGTTGTTAAATATCTTGTTTCAGTTGGCGCAAACATCGAAGCAAAGGATAATGCATTTCGATGCACTCCTCTTGTTTATGCATCATATAAAGGACATCTTGATGTTGTAAAATATCTTATCTCATGTGGTGCAGATAAAAATGTTAAGACCAGAAATGGACATACTCCACTCAAGAACGCAAAAGGTGCCGTGAGAAACTATTTGATATCAATTGGTGCGAAATAAAGAATAATTTAATTGGGTTTTACATTTTTTTATAATACCCAAAGATATTTTTGCACTAAAGACTTTAATTTTTCATGTGCAAACATATCCATTCTCTAAAATTTTGAGATCCAGATACCATAAATATGAAAATGGTGTACTCACACCCATCTGACTTTAATTTAAATTAACACCTGTGTTAATCGCCATTGAAAATTAACATCATTAACTTCATTATAGTAAACAATAATTACTATAGAATCCAAAAAAATTCATTATATAAAAATTGAGTAAAAGAGTGATCTTGAATTCTTTATATATATGAGCTGTATTTTCAAATATAAACTTTTTTTTATTTGCAATCACCCCTATAACTTCACTCATGCCTAGGGGTGAATAGAATAGAATCAAAGCTGAATAACCTCAATGATTCTCCTTTTTATATAACCAAATGATTAAAAGAAATCTGTAGGGTTGTTAAAAATATCAAAAATTAGCGTTTTGAAGACACCATGGTGTCTTATAATTTTCCCTTCCTTATTGGCGTGTAGAAATAAATGCGCCAATAGATTGAAGAAGAAGAATTGTTTTTCTCTTAATGAACTTTAATCCTTTTGATATAAGAATATTAAAAACATTAATATAATTTCGATTTCGGAAATTAAATTTCCAAATTTTTTGTCGATTTCGGAAATAACAGGATCCCGCATCCAACACGCAACAACAAAACACAAAACACACTTTTTGGTTCTTTCATCGTTTTAATCGTAATTAGTAGTATATGTTGAAGGGTTGTGTGACTTTTTTTGTAAACGTAAGAATTCATACAATATTGAACGATTTTGTATCATTTTTTTTAACATATGAAGTAAAAAATGTATGATTCTTACGGTTTTTATTCTTACATTTTTGAATAAATCAAGATTTAAAAAATTTTCAAAATTGTAAGACATTTACACTCAGCCCATACATAATGAAATAAAAAAAATAAACTTTAAAAATTCATGTCTTACATTTATGAAAATTTATTTTTATTTTGTATGAAACCGATTTTAAAAATTTATGAATAATTTATAAAAAGTTTTTATTCCTACAATTCCTATATTACCATTAATAAAAAGAATATATTTTATAATAGTTTCATTTCGAACATGTTAAAATTTATCTGCATTTCGAAAAATTTTATTATAAATGATAATATAATTTATTAAATTAATATATAACTTATGAATTTTTACTTTTTGTATGAAATAAAATTTAGTATTAATAAAGTTATAAAATAAATTGGTGCATGTTAGATGTAAATAAGATATAAAAAGGTGTTTATGAATACTTTAGCAGAACTTCTACTGGTAGAGTTTATACTGGCAGAACTTCTACTGGTAGAGTTTATACTGGCAGAACTTCTACTGGTAGAGTTTATACTGGCAGAACTTCTACTGTTTCCCTCAAAATTGAATACTTTAGCAGAACTTCTACTGGTAGAGTTTATACTGGCAGAACTTCTACTGGTAGAGTTTATACTGGCAGAACTTCTACTGGTAGAGTTTATACTGGCAGAACTTCTACTGTTTCCCTCAAAATTGAATACTTTAGCAGAACTTCTACTGGTAGAGTTTATACTGGCAGAACTTCTACTGGTAGAGTTTATACTGGCAGAACTTCTACTGGCAGAACTTCTACTGGTAGAGTTTATACTGGCAGAACTTCTACTAGTAAAGTTTCTACTGGTAGAACTTCTACTGGCAGAATTTCTACTGGTTATATATGGTGTCAATTTTTTAAAAATTTTGAATTCAATGAGTTATATCAAAAATAAAATTCTTGAATAGAGTAAAAAAATTTAAATAATTTATTTAAATATTTTCTTCTGACATTTTTGAATAATTTATTTTTTTAATTCGTAAGAAAATGAGTGGATCAAGATTCGTAACCGTCAATCAATTAATGGATGCTCTTTCACCAATTCTTGAAAATGTTAAACAAGTAGATGTTTATTTCGATGATTATGTAGAAAGTTTATATTATAAAGGTAAACATAATATTAAACCCATTGCTTTTGCATTTGATAATAAATTTTGAAAATGCAAAAATTTGGGAATTAATTCCAGATATTGAATATATAACGAATATAACTAATAAATGGTTCAAACGAATTCCAACCACAAAAGTTCTTTGTAAATTAATGATCAAAACCGAGGCCAAAGAATTTCATGAATTTACATATCATCCAAATAAAGTTTCAGAACTAGAAAATGAAAAACTTCAGAAAAAATTAAACGATAGACTTTCAAATGATCGTATTGAAAAAATAAATAAACTAGCAGAAGTTGCATTTAATAATGAAATATTTGATGAATATAACCTTGAACTCAGTGATGGGCTTTAAGGACCCGGGCTCAACGAGTCATGATTTATGAAATCAATATTTGATTTATTCTCTTCAATAATTTCTATTCTTTTTGTTAAATCATCTATTTTCATTAATGAGGTGATTCTTGATTGAGGAATAGATTTCAAACTAACCACTCCTTTTATTTTTGAAATTTTGAATCCATCAACTTTAAACATTTTATTCAATTTACATGTTGTCAATTCTTCAAATAATTTTTTATTATTAGCATAATAGTCATTAAATTCTTCAACAGATGAAAAAATTTTTATTTCAGTAATTGGTTTAACAACGTTTATTTTTTGTTGAACATTTTCACTTTCATTTATTTCTTCCTCCTCTGTTTCATTTATTTTTAAAATTGGTTTCATTTATCATTAAATAAAAATTAGAATATAAGTGATGAAATATATTTTTTAATTAATATTAAATCAGAAATGGCGGCAGGATTCTTTAAAAAATTATGGGAGGAATTAAGAAAGCTGCGGGTTGGGTTCATCAAAAGATTATTAAACCCGTTGCAAACTTTTTGGCACCAGTAGCGAAAACGGCAGGAACTATCATAGGTGGAGTATTAGGTACTAAAGCAGGTAATCCGGCGATGGGAGCACAAGCAGGTAACGCAGTTGGTGGAATTGCTGAAGGAATACTTAATAAAATAGGAGGTAGATAGTGGAAAAATAAATAAATATTATTTTTATCTTAGTATCGGTTGAAGTCTTTGATAAACTTTTTCTCCTTTATTTAATATTTCTCTTATTGGGGCAGCTTTTGGCGTTATTGATTCAGCAACGTCACTAATTGCTTCTTTATTCTTAAATATCCAATTTGCTCCTTCTTCAATGTTTCCCAAACTTTATGCGCTCCTCTTTTTACTTTATCCCACAGTTTCTTAAATCCTGCAGCCATAGTTGATTATTTCATTAAAATTAAAAATTCATTTTCATCTTTTAATTTTGATTTTTTATTTATTAATAAATGACGACTAACTATTTGGTGCCAAACACTAAACCGATTAATGGAAATGTGTTTCATTCATTCGAAAAGATAAATGAAATATTCGCAAAGAATGACGGTAGAAGATATTATAGAGAACTTGAAAGTTCATGCTATGACTCTGATGCTCCATATTTTGATGATAAACAAACTCATTTAAGAATTACAAATCCGGCTCATGATGTGAACCAATTAGGTGACACATATATTAAACGCAAAGTTAAAGCAACTCTAGTTTCAAATAAAGCTTTCACATGTGATGCCGCTTTTAAATGCATGCGTTTATTCGTTGGTTACAAATCATCAAATCAAAGCTTTAAACAATTAGAAGTAGAAACCGAAAGAGGTGATGCCGGTTATCTTCAGATGGATTGCGCCCGTGAATCTTTCGCATTTGCAACATATAAACCAAAATCAGAAAGGAAAGTTAAAAAGTTTGTTCATTCGTTATATAATAATGTTCAAAAATATGATAACTCAGTATGTGGTAAATATATTGACCCTTCAGAAGTTTTCAAGAAAGCAAATGAAGAAGTTGATGTCACTTTTGATATGATTATTCCGGTAAATGATTTGTTAGCATTTCAGGCGTTCGATGATTATCCTAAATCATTTGGTGAAATCATTCTTAAATATTATGTTTTCAGGGATACTTTAGTATTTTGTCAGGTTGACCCGTTAAGAGTTGCTGATTTACAAAATTACGTTTATGAAAAGATAACTGATGAAAATTATGAAAAGATTATGAATCATGTTTATAAATATGATCGCAAATTCCAACAAATCGGACTTCCTGCCAAATTAATTACAAGCTTAGCCGCTACATCTGCTGACGCAACAGTTGATAACGTTATTATTTCATGCACAAAGATGGAAGTTTTAGAGGATAAATGCATTACACCAGGATACGGTTTAATTGAAGAATCAGTTAAAGCAATACCACGTTTATTCAGTAAGGAAGATCCATTCATGATTCCAGCTCAACATATTGACGTTCGTTCACTAAATGGAGGTTGCATCACTCCTGAAGGTATCAGCTCAGATTTTCTCATACGCTCTTCATAATGTTACAGATGTTGTGTTAACATTTCCGAAGAATGCAATGCAAAGAACGTTTTAGAAAATCCAATGCTTCGAGGTCTTCAGGTCACTATAGATTCCAGAAACTTCCCCGATCAAGCGATGACCACAGTGGGCGACATATTCTTTACACGTATGCTTCAAGCTTCTGATTTAGATGGAGTGAATGAATGCACGGAAGAATACGAGGACTCATTAACTAGACCACTGAATGATGATAATGGCACACCATTAGCTAGAACATGGAAAGACCAAACTTCATTCTTATGCACTATTCCAGTTCAACGTGATGGAGCGGGTATATTCTTTGATGGATTAGAAACTTTCAATCACAAGTTACAGTACAAGTGAAAGCTTATCCAATCATTCAGGGTGAAAATGACACTTACTGTTCAAAGGTGACAAATCCTCCTCAGGTTTGGTTTACTAGGACTACATATTGGACATGGACACCGGATGAAGGTTTGAAATATCATCCAACAGGTACACCACCACAGTATAGAAGTTCATATGATGAAATATTGATGAATAGAAATGTTTAAAATTATAAATTTATTTTTGATTAAATGGATTTAAATTCATCCACCCCTTATGAAGAATTAGCGGGAGTATATAATACATACATAGATGATATGATTAATGAAGCATTGAGTGATAATAGAAATGCTCTATCTAAGGAAAAATTAATGAAAATTCCATATTCTGAATGTTATTTAAATTCAATCACTGCAGCAATTGGTAAACAAAATAAAGGTAAAACATTAACGATATTAAAACAAATTATCATTATTGCTAACACTTCCCCCTATTCACATGTGTTAATTTATATCAACCGTTCAGGTTCACCTTCAGATGATACATTTGAATCAAAGCATTTAATCAAAATTCCAATTATTTATTTATCACAAGAAGAAGCAGAAGATTATTTAAAAAACTTTTTAATGTATAAAGAATTATATAATACAATCAAGAAGCAAGGATTAGAGGATAAAATTATTGATAAACAACGGGATGAATTATTTGAAACACTTTCTATTTCAAATTTTGATAGAGAATTTTTGCATTCACTCATTTTTCTAGATGATGCAGTGAAATCAAAACTAATAACAAATGAGAAATCATATTTTAATCAGTTATTAACTCAATGTCGACACATTCAGTGTTCATTCTTTATGGCTGTTCAATACTTCAAAGCATTAAGCACAAACATTAAATCAAATCTATCAACACTTTTCATTTTCAGTGGTTTTAGTCGTCAACAGTTGAACGTTATGCTTTATCAAGTGAATTTACCAATGAGCATTAATGAACTTTACACACAATATCAACAATTAGGAGAACATGGAAAAATAATAGTTGATTTAAATAAAGGAAGTGTTAAATTTGATTAACTTTTTATGATTAATTTTTATTTTTTATTTATAATTAAACATGACAGAAATAGCAAATCTTCTACAGGTTCCATTAAAACAAGGGACAAACAAAAAGGGTGCATATAATAGAACTATGAAAGTTCCAGACGGAATGAAAGAATTAGTCCACATTGTTGCCGGTCTTCAAAAGGATGTTAAACAAATGAGAAACGTTTTAACATTACCAGAAGCTCAAGCATATGCCAAACGTCATGGTCCAAATTGGGAAGCACACGAAGCAGACATTACAGGACCAAATGGAAAACCTGATGGTATAAATGAAGTTTTCGTTACTGATGGTCAAGGTAATATTAAAGTCATAAATGGTTATAAATTAACTATATCTGATTATCCTAAACGTAAAGCATATAATGAACGTTATCCTATGAAATTTGATGAAAATGGAAAAGCTGTTAAACAACATATCGGAGAAGGTGAAAATGGTCCGATGTATTCATACCGTCATAATCCATATTCTTATTTCAATGAAGAATTAAATGCTGTTGAAGAAGGACCAAACGGATTACCTCAATATGTTAATCAGTTTGATGGTCAATATGCAAATTTGAGACCTGAAATTCCAGCTAAGAAATTCTTTAAAGTTGCTTTATTCGATCCACTGTTCAATGAACAGAAAGAAGCAATGAAAGCAGAATTTAAACCAATTCAAGTGGCAAGAATTTCTTCATCTTCACTTTCAGAAGCGTTCAAGGAATTGATAAAGAAACCACTTTATTCTCAACAAGGTTATAACTTTGATTTAATTAAAGAAAGTGATAGACGTAAATTAGAAAAATCAGATGGTTTTAAGAATGCATGTAATGAAATGATTAAAGATATTGTAAATGATAAAATAAGACTGGAAGAAACTCAAATCAATATCAATAACATAATTGGTGCAGTTACAAAGAAAGTATAAGCAAACAAGGATGAACCTTGGGATATTACCGTAACAACTAAATAAAACTTTAAATATATTTTTCTTTTTTTTATTCAATTATAAATGAGAAGACGTTTCACAAGTCAAAAGAACACAAACGCAAAAGCAGAGATTACGGTTGGTTATAACGTAAATGATGATAAATCACGAATTATTCAAAATGTTAAAGTTAATGTTAGTCCTGAATTAACAAGGTCAGCAACTCAACCAAATTTATTAACTCGTGACTTACCGAAGAAAGAGGAGGAGCAAAATAAAGAAGATGAAGACCCAATCATTTTATCTGAACCCGGTAAAGAACCCGTTGAAATTCCCACTTATCCAACATACCCCCGCCTCTTTCATCAAACATCGAGAACCCATATAAAATAGACATTAATTCTGAATTAATGAAAATTTACCGTGATATAATAATTAATAATTATGATTCAATAATAAATTTAATTGACCAATCTGGTTTAATTATTTTACCTTATGAATCATTAATTCACATTATCGCCATTCTTTGTGATGTTCAAGATTCAGACGTTAAGATTCAATTTTTCATAGATGATGAGGTTTCATGCTGCGGAACAGTTGCAAAAATAAATCCTATAAAGGATATTAGCACAATTAAGATATCAAAGAACGGAACAACAACTGAACTTCATTTAACATATAATGATATTTATAATAAAATAGTTGATGAATATAAAATATCACTTGAAAAATTCTTTGTTAAGGCTATTTAATATTCAAGCATTAACATTATTGAATAATAATCCTTTGAATCATAATCAATAATAATTGACCTTTCACCAGTTTCTATCGTTTGTTTTATTTCTTTTTGTTCCCCACTATCTGGATCGGTCATTGTAATTGTTTTTGTTATAGTATCAGCTTTATCTTTAACTTCAATCTTTTTTCCATCGGGATATTTAAACCAAAATTCCAAAAATTCGATATTGTCAATCTGTTCATATTTTAATCTATCAATTACATTTTTAATACCATCTGAAAATCTTATGAAATGGTCATTATATGGGTTTGATTGAACTAAATTTGAATGAAGTGAAATATAACCTGTTGATGAATATGACACTGACTCATATTTTCTGAAAACACTAAAATTTATAACATGAATGAATTTCTTATTCGTTGAATTTATGAATTCTTGAGGTAATCTTATTCTAGTTTATTTATCACTGGAAAAATAACGCTTTACCATATTTTTAATCGTAATAAAAAATGTCAATTATCAATATTATTTCGAATAATAACTGTGAATTAAATTTAACAGTTAGCGGAATTTATAATGTTACTCTCGTTTCTGTGAGTGGTAAATTTAATCCCATTCTTTTAGACCCTTCAGATTATATATCATTTATTAAAGATGACCTTGAAAAAAACGTATGATATGTATATAAATAATGTGATAGCGAAATGGGATATTAACATGATTTTAAGTTATTTAAATGAATCATTTATCGTATGGTATGAAGAAAATTTTAAATCAAAACCCGATAAACTTTTTGAACTTGATGAAATAAATAACCTTATTAAATTTCCGCTGAAAATTAAATTTTGTACTCCTCATCTTCGTTCATTGTTGGGGATATTAAATTTTGAAAAAGATGTTGGGGATGTTTTTTATTCTGACACTGGTTCCAATTTCATTTTAATCAAATGTGATAAAGTTAATACCCCAATGAGATTTTCACATCAAACATTAGACCCTAACTCTTACCCATCAATACAAAACATTTTATCCATCAACTTAAACACATTTTCTTTATCATATCCGTTTCAATTATCCGGGAATTCATTTATTCTTCATTCAAAAGATTTATCAAATATTAAATTTAGAATAACTGACCTATTTGATTGTGATTTAGAATTCATGAATGAAATATTATGGCAATTTCAAATAGAAAAAATAGCTGATGAGATAACAGATTAAATATTTATTTTTAAATCATAATAAATGATTAAACAACAGCAACCACAGCAACTTAAGGCACAAAGCACCCAGGTCCCTCAGACCATTACATACGCCATATATGCATATAATTCAAAGACGGCAGAACAAACGCAAAGGTTGAAATATGGAGATTTGGAGATAGTATTGAAAAATGACCATTTCGAATTCGTTTGCAAGGGTGGTGCAGTGATATCAAATATAAAAGAAATTTTATTTTATGAATTCTAAAATTAAAGGTATAACGGATGATATAACATCAATTCCACCAGAAGAACAGAGATATTACGCATTAAATGCATTTCCTAAAGTTTTGAAGATTGGAAGATTTAATTTAAATGAGGAATTCATAAAAGGTTTCCTAAACGACATAATGAAGAAGGCAGATAAGGAATATGTGGATAGTGAGTTAAATAAGAAGGCAAATTTGGTTTATGTTGATGAAAAAGATAATGAAATTAAAGAAAAGGTTGAATGGTATCATGAATGGACATTTGAGACTTTTAAAGTTAAAGCTGATACAGAATGGGTTTCGGGATGTTTAGACCTTAAAGCAGATAAAACTTATGTTAATGATGAGTTAATGAAGAAAGCAGATAAGGAATATGTGGATAGTGAGTTAAATAAGAAGGCAAATTTGGTTTATGTTGATGAAAAAGATAATGAAATTAAAGAAAAGGTTGAATGGTATCATGAATGGACATTTGAGACTTTTAAAGTTAAAGCTGATACAGAATGGGTTTCGGGATGTTTAGACCTTAAAGCAGATAAAACTTATGTTAACGATGAGTTAGAGAAGAAAGCGGATAAGGAATATGTTAACGATGAGTTAGAGAAGAAGGTGGATAAAACATATGTTAACGAAATATACCAAAGTTTGATAGGAACAACTAAAAATATTGAAACTATTGTTGGTGACTTTTCTGTCAATGAAGAAAACAAATATTTTAGATGGGAGTTTGTACACTCCTTAAAAAATGGTATACGGTGTAAACTCATTCCGAAAAATAACAATGAAATGTATGTAGGCTATATAAAGAATGATGGAACACAAGTTAAAGTTCCATTAGACAACAACTGCTACTTAAACTTATATGGAGACGAACAAAAGAAATATTTAAGAGTTTATGAAATGGCAGGTATGACGTTGGCTGACCCAGCTCCAGCACCATATTATTATGACTATGGAGATGATGTCAGAACACCACATGTAGATGAACAAAAGTTAACATTATATTTAGATTATTATAGATATAAAAGATATAATGCAATAGAAAAAACGAGAATAGTATATTATTATACAGATGACAGAAATAAATATTATAGTCAAGATTTTACCTACCCTGAAAACATAAGATTATATTATAAAAAATATTCTGACACAAACCAGAAGAAACCTGAAATAGTTACACTATATTTTAAGTTCAAAAGAGACAATCCTATAATATCTCATATGTTTGATTTAATGAACCCAGTAGGTTCTATTTATACATCTATGGATGCAAGAGGTCCTCAAGTAATGTTTGGTGTTGGTGCATGGGAACAAATAGTTGACAGGTTTTTGTATTGTGCAAACTCTTCAAAGGAAACAGGGGGAAGTAAAACGATTTCAGGTGAAAATTTACCTGCACACAGTCACTACATAGATTTAAGTACATCTCAAGCAGGTTGGCATAAGCATAGATATTGGGATTGGTCAGGAATGACAAAAGGTAAAGGATATGATGTTTAAAGACGACGTTAAGTTTGCCATAAATTGTTACTGGAGTGACACTCAGGGAGAAGGAAACCATACACATCACGTTTCATGATATACACAAACAACGGGACAAAGTAAAGAATACATGCCACCTTACATGACAGTTTACGCATGGTATAGAGTTCAATGAATGAACTAAATATATTTTATGTCTGTAATTAATTAGGTAATGAAGTAATGGATGAACTGCAGAAATAAATGTTTACGTTAATGTTTACGTTAAGTGACTCAAAGAGTCCGGAGACAAAGTCTCATGTTTTAGGTTATTCAATAATTAATTATTTTTGAAGAACTGAAGGGGTCACCAGGTCACCAGGTCACCAGGTTATTTAACTTCTCTGAAAAAATGAGACAACATGACATTTAGACAACATCACAGGAGGAAGGCAAAAATAAATTCAAATCATACTTTATAAAGCATCATTTACGGGTATTTCATCGTCAGTAAATGAATCCTCATTATCGTTTGGTTCAACCTGTTTATATAATCCTTTCATTTCTTCTTTCAAAACATAATACCATGTTTGTTTACCATCTATTTTTCTTTGTTTCCTATCACATTTATCCTTAATGCTCATTTGAAAATTCTTGTCTTTCATGTCTGATGGTTTGCAGAATAGAGCATTTTTACACGTCATACCTGCACACAATTCATCATAATGTGTATTTATCCATACATCTAAAGGATTTGTTGATAACTCGATTAAATCTTGTTTGGCTTCAGTCATCGGTATGATTCGTACATTAAATGATGAAAGGTCGTAATTGATAAAATATGTTAAAAGGTTATCATAAAATTCCTTTGTGCATGAATCCATTAAATTCTTGAAGTAATCAAATTGACCCTTGAATTTACCATTAACTCTTAAAACTACGTATCTTCTGTCTCCAACTTCAATTTTGACAGGGTAAACGTTGTTAGTTACGAAAATGAAGTTTGCAACATTCTGAGCAGTTCTTCTGGGTTGATTCTTTTCATTAATTCTAATCTCATTATCCGTAATAATTGATTTCAAAGCGTTGAAGTTTGCGAGTCTGTCTTCACCTACATTCTTGAGTTCATTAAGTACAAGAAACATTTTATTCTCAACTACTGAGTTGAAATTACCCGTTAGCTCACTTATTTCAGTAATGTTTTTACATGAATAACCGGCGAGAAGTTCAGAAATAATGTCTGTAAATCTGTTTTTACCTGTTCCCTGAAGTCCTTTCAAAATAATTGCTGTTTCATTCTTGATTCCAGGATGTTGAATCATTGATGCAATCCAGCCGAGAAGGTATTTATACACTTCATCGTTATTATCACAAATGGCTTCTTTAATGAAATTCATAAACATCTCAATTTTTGAGTAATCTGGTTTTTCGAGAACGTTGTATTTATAACCTTGAAACGTTGAGAAAACATCTGGAGAATCAGATTTAAAGCAAACACCCTTAACGGTTAATGAGGATAATTGATTTAGTAGTACGTCCCATGCTGTTATGGTTTTACCTTCTTCTTTAAATAATTTAATCATTTTGAGTGACTCTTTCATGTTTGATTGAAGAACGAATGATATTTGATTCATTTTGTCGTGGATATTATAGTCCTTTTGAATGAAATATTTGTTTCCACAATCTACAAAACGGATTACACGTGATAAATCCTCAATTACTTCAGAACTGTTTTTATACTGATGATTTTCAGCCTTGCGTCTAATATCTGTTATCAAGAATGAATCATCAAGTTTTATATCAAATGTTATTTTTGGCTTACATAATAAAGGCAAAACGTATTCATCATAATATTCCTTTTGATATAGTTTTAGAATCTTCACTAAAACAAATGGAGAAGTCATTAAATGTGCATATCTACTACGTGCTTTTTCAAAATTACTTTTAGCATTTTCTGTTAAACTGCAGAAGTTATAAACGTTATCGTATGCTTCATTAATTAAATGATTAGGTAACGAATTAATTGCTTGAAACAGTGTGAATAATGTTATTTCTTTTTCTAAATTCATGTTTCCACCGTCATTATGTACTTCAAAATCACAGATGCCATCAACTATGCTTTGAGCTAGTTTATCGTCAATGTTTACATCTTTGTTTTCATTCATGATATTCTTTATTTCTTCGTTCTTCTGTTCAACTCTTACCTTAATATTCAAATCATTTAATATATCATTCACTGTTCTAGTTAATGTTGAATCATAACTTCCACGAATGAATGAGTATGTATTGATTGGTTCTGTTGCATTCTTGCGAACTCTTGATTCAGCCATAACCACTAATGAACGCTTTGAATCATCCATAGAAGTCATGATATCAATATCATAATCATTGCAGGAATAACATTTAATCATTCTGTTCGAAACTGCATAGAAGAAATTAGTGTTGCAATAAATGTGAAGACCTCCTGAAGCGGTTTTAACGATAACATCTTTATCCGAAAGTTTTGATAAAATGTCTTTTCTAACTGTTTCTTTAAGTTCATCATTGTATGATTTATTGATATCAACATCTATAATCGTTAAATTTGAAATTTTATTTACTAATAAAGCTGTACCAGTTTTCCTTCCTCTTCCTCCATCATGTTTGAGGTAGTTATGTAAATCAATCTTGTTTTCACCAATTCTTTCGTTGAGGGTTTTAGTTTCTGCCACAACTAATTCCTCAGCTAATGAATCAATAACTTGTTCATCAGAAACGATATAGTTGTTGTTGCTGTTGCTGTTGTTTGTTGCTGTCATTTATATAGGAATAAAAAAATAAAAATAATTTTAAAACTAACTTTATTTTTGGGTCATTTACACTCATTTACGATGAAGTCATGACAAATCATTTCCTGTGTTGTTGTCAAAATGTCATGAGGTTAGAAATGAGGTTAGAAATGAGGTTAGATCTAACCATCTACCCTAAAAATTATTTTACTCAGAATTTTGTATAAAAAAACAACCGCCGGAATTCAGACGGTTGCTATATTCTTCACAAAACATTAACGTAAACATTAACGATAAAATATATTTTTGTCTGATTTACACTCATTTACGATGAAGTCATGACAAATCATTTCCTGTGTTGTTGTCTAAATGTCATGTTGTCTCATTTTTTCAGAGAAGTTAATTAACCTGGTGACCCCTTCAGTTCTTCAAAAATAATTCATAACCGCCTTCCTCCTGTGTTGTTGTCTAAATGTCATGTTGTCTCATTTTTTCAGAGAAGTTAATTAACCTGGTGACCTGGTGACCTGGTGACTCCTTCAATTCTTCAAAAATTATTAATTATTGAATAACCTAAAAACCATTAACGATAAAATAACTGATAACAAATTTTTATTTTTATCATAAATGGATACCCCACAAGCTCAAAATTTACCACGAATCATAACAAGGGAGGAAACGATAAAAATGATGCGAGAACTTGCTAAAAATAACAAACCACTAAAACTGAGAAAATGTGGTTATGCAGTAATGATGGAAAGAGAGATGTTGTCAAAGAGGAATAAAAATTAAATTTGGATTGAGTTTAAAAATTCATCTTTATTAAATTCATCTCTTCCAATCAATTTATTTATTCTATTAAATTCTTTTATTTTTGCTTCACTCAGTTTAAGGATTGAACGGTAAGTTTCTAATTTTTCGATTATTTCTTTATCGTTTTCAACCCCACCGCATTGCGGCTTCTTTTTGTAATAGCATATTTTTGATTTAATTCTGTTTAGTTTCTTTTTATATTCATCGTCTGGACTCTTGACTGCTTCGTTGTCACTCATTTCTTACGAAATAAAAAAAATTAAATATTATTTAAATATAATGGAGTAATAAAATAAATCGGAATTTCTATTAATTTATTGTCAACTTCAACTAATGCATTGCCGTTAATATATCTAACAAATTCAGCTATTGTGTCAAATCTTCGTCTTCTTTTTGTCATTGATTTATCAGTTTTTCCATAATCGAGATGAATTAAAACTTTATTTCCTTGTTTAAAATTCATGAGCCCCGAATTAATTTGTTCACGTTTAACATCATTCAACCTTTCCATTTGCTTTCTAATATATTCCCATTCTTTTGAAATATCATTTTTCATTTCCACTGGTTTCATGTTTATAGTTCTATGCCATGTATTATTGTAATAATATACTAACTGCTGTATGATGGAGTCATGATTTCCATCCCAGTATATCTGACCGTTAACCCTAACGCATCTCTAAGAGTTCTCATTACCGCATCAACTATTTTATTATGAAACGTATATGGAGAGGATGAGAAGAAAAAATTAATTTGTGGGAAATAATGAGTCATAGCTGCCTGAAATCCTTTATCACCATCACCCCTGATATTATCTACTCTTTCATGATCTAGTAAGTATTGAATAGCTCTTCTTGTTTCCTGTTCTGTTTTCCCTTTCACCGGAATGCAATATAAATATCTAGTGTTAATGTTAATGGCAAATAAATAAGTAACGTTTCCTTTTGAATATTCCAGATGATCGATTTCGTATGAATATGGATATGGTGCAAATGAAGGGCGACTAAATTTTTCCTTTAACGGTTGAATTTTCGGGTCAATTGGTTTATTTAATATCTTGAAATCCTTTTTAAAATCTTTTTGCTTCTTTAATGTTTGAAATGGATATAATAAAGTGAATGATGAAGGATTAACTGAAGGAGGAGGCGGTACTGTCGTTGGAGGTTTTGGTGTTGCAAGTGGTTTAATTTTATCTGCTTTGATTTTGGATTTCATTCCTTCCTTCATTAATTCTGGATGTATTCTATTCATTTGTTTTAAATATGCTGTATATAAAGGTTTGATATACTTTCCCGCTTCGAGTTTATGTTGAAGGATGAATTCCAAAAGTTGATCTTCATTTAAAAGTCGGGCTGAATATGGTTTAACTAATGAATCATAAATTAAAGCTTGTGCTTCATTTATGGTCTGAAGGACCTGGGTGTTTTGTTCCTTTTGTTTTTGTGGCTCAGGATTATATAATTTATATAATTCATCAATATCTTCTTCTGTTAATACTTTATTTTTGAAATCTTTCAACTGTTTAAGTTGTGATTTAGTTTTTCCCTTTGAATATTCATTATTTTTAATTTTGTCTTTAATTTCAGAAATTATTTTATTATGATATTTCAAAATTTCATTTTTATAATATGGATAATAATATTCCATATCATCACCCGTTATATTGTTATCATATTTTTGGAGATATGATTTTAATTCATAATAACTAAGAAAAGTTTGATTAAGTACTAAATCATCAATTAAATTTTTTAAATCTGTGTTATCCATTTATATAAAAATAAAATCAATGTTTTAAGGGTGCCCACCTCTTTGAATCATAGTATCAAAACCATTATTAACGGTTTCTTTTGTCTCTTCTGTGGTATTTTATTAAATAAATGGCATACAACATCCATTTTCACAACATACAGCCTTAGTGTGTGCTCCTGTTAATGCAGTCTTACCAATTGTTAAGCGAGTCATTGACCCATTTTTAAGTTGTAAATTAATATTCTGACCATCAAATATCAATTTATCATTTATTATATCCAAATAATTTTTAGGTGTTAATTGTTTATTTTGTCGTAAACTAACACCTTTCATTTTTTGTGCAATCTTTTTAAAATCACTTCCATCAATTGAACCGTTGAATGATGTATAACACTTAGGGCATAAAGCAACCATGTTATCACCTTGTTTCTCAATTGCTAAACCCAATAACTTCTTCTCATGTGCTTTTTCTTCAGCTTTATTCTTTAATTTAGGTTTAAATTTCTCATCAAAACAGAAGAAATCAAATGGTGCGAATTTGAAAATGTTTTTATCATAAAATTGTTTATCAGTAACAATTGCTTGAAATGCTTGAGTGTTAGGAAGATTTGGGTCGCCAGCGATTGCCCAATAAGATGAATCAGTATCACCTTCAATGAAATGAAAACGATTAACATTCAAGCATTTATACATAAAATCATAAATGAAAACCAAATACCAGTATTTAGCATTATCTAAAGTGAAGAATGCCTCTTGTAAACATGTATCACATCTATAAAATCTATCTTTAAGCATCACTTGATATGTATCTTCACCTATTTCTCTTATGTTTTTAAACTTATTTGACATACATGCAACGCGTGACTTCTGTGCATTCATTATTTTAGTCTTTGCGTAATTTTGTGTATTCATTGCATCGTAACCATATGATCCATTAAGTGAAATCTTGCAAAATAAACTTTTTCCTTTATTTCCTTCTAATTCAGCCTTTTGTCTTTCGTTCATAAATTCTTTCGCAAATTCATTAAAACAAGTGTTTTTAGTAAATGTTAAAATTGATTGAATGTCATCAATGATAAAATGAAATCTGTCTATTAGATACCAAGATAATAAGAAGAAAATGGTTGATATTGGTTGTGTGTTGATGCTAACTGAGTTAATTTTCTCTGTTTCTGGTCAACTGGTATTGTTTGATTTCATGTAATTATACATAAAACTGCCAATTGTTTTTTCATCTGTGATAATATCTAAGTTTCTTATTATCGGTAAAAAGTTTATGTAATCATTAATGTATTTTTCATCAATGTGACCCTTTACTTCAGCCACGAATAAAGTATTTTTCTTCTTAATTATTCCCAGTGCTTTTGCTTTCTTTGTTGCTGTATCACAAATGATAACACCATTCAATCTTCCCGGCATATACATTTTATGGTCAGTATATTGAATGAAATCATGAGGATTAGATGAAAATGATGAAGGATATAATGAATTAAAGTCAACACCAACGAAATGAGTCATAATGTTGGTGGTGTCCTCATTTGATACAGTTTTAGTTTCTGGATTATATGAAAGTTTATTAATGTGCGTGATTCCTTTAAGATTAACACGATGTTGAACATTTGATAGACCACCAGTAATTCCATTACGGAGAATGTGATAAGCTTCAACTGAATCTAAAGTCATTGGTAAATTATTTTTTAATGCATAATTTCTTAAATTGATTCTTAAACGTTGAACATCTTCATCTTTATTTGATTTTACGACATTGCAATAACAACACATTAACTGACAATTTTCTTTGGTATGTGGTTTTTCATTATCGATTCTATCCAATGTTGGTTTATTTGCATATGTAAACGCTTTACCACACATTTTGCATTTAGATGAAAGGATTAAATCGTGATAGTATTGATAGTCATCCATTGAAACATTGTTTTTTGGTATCTCTTTTCGCCTTTTCATCTTGTTTCTTATATGATTCAATTTTATATTTCCAATACTTTTTCGTTAATTCAAAACTTGATTCCACATTTTCTTCTTCTGGATATGTTTCGTTAGGATTGAAGTTCTTATATGCTAACGCGTAACGAATCATTGATGCATTCGATGATAAAGAAAGATTATGAAGCATGTCAATTTTATAAACAAATGTTTCTTCGATAATTTTATCAATTGGGTCAATCATAATTTCAACGTCTTTATTGCAATAATGAATAAAATATTCTAATCTATTCTCAAAATTTTTAGCATCATTGAGATATATTTGATAATCTGAATCGGATATTGTTTCTTGTGTTAATGCTGAATAAAATGAATCTTGAGTGAATGGTTCCACTTTATATAATTCTTCTTCGTAATTTCCCATGTGATGAATTGATAAGGGAAAAAGGATTTAACACGTGATTTATTGTTTCCGAAATCTTGAGTGAATTGGTCTAATGTTCCACCCGCTATATAATTTCTGATGTCAATAAATCTTAATTCATATGGACAGTTTGTTTTCTTTACTATGACTTGCTTAAATTGAGAAGAAGAACCCAGCATTGATTTTATCTTCCATTTTGCAGTATTTAAATCACGAAGAATTAAATTTAAATCAAACTTTCCCGAATTAAAACCAATGATATTCACTTTATTAAATTCTTCATCTAAAAGCTCTTTCATTGCTTCCTTTTGTTTCTCATTTAATGTATTCATTAATTCTTCATATTGTTCAATATTTGATTTAGCAACTAATGAACAGGTTGAAAATAAAAATTCAATCCAATCAGAGATGAACGAATCACTTGATGTTAAGCAAAAATTCCTCGTAAATGTTTTATCACGGTCTACGACCTCGCCGCTTTGCGGCTTTATTTTGACAGTTGATGATACCATAAATGGTTTTAAGTAAGCGTTCAAAGTTGCACATTCAGAAAGTTGAAGTTCTTCTTTAGTCTCTAATGTTTCGAAGTCAAAAGTAATATAATATCTTGTTGGTTTATAATATTCCTGCAAATTATGTGCTAATAGCCACTGATATATCTTCTGTTCGTGATATGTGTGCATATGGTTGTTGGTCTTTTGCAACTGAACGTCTTGAATTAATCTTCCATTATTTTCTTTACATTTCTCACAATGCTTTAAAAATCTTCTTTGGTTTTTCCTTTCTGGATCATCACGGATAGAATATACTTCTTCTTTGCAAAAGGGCAAACTTTATATCCTGTGAGTGCTTCAACGTCTGTAATTCTGTCAGCGTGAAGTTTTCCACATGGACTCTGTGTTAATAAAATATTTACTGTTTCAAATTCTGGATCTATCATTATTGATTCCACTAATGGAAAGTCTACCTTGTTAATGTCTACGTCTTCTGGTTGAGGATCACAATAATAGAAATCAATATTAACACTTAACATTCTCGCTAATCTCTCACTTTCTGATGAAATGTCAAATCCTTCATATGCATCTATGGCTTCATTTAAATAACTTCTACGAGTTTTAGGATTAACACCATCAGGAATGTTATAGAAGCGTTTAAATAACCTTCTACCTTCTGCTCTTATTTGATTATCATTCATTTTAGCTGTTCCATTTTTGTTCATTTATGTAAGAATAAAAATTAAAAAATAAATAAAAATAAGTTTATTTTTTTAAAGTCCGAGACTCAGAGAGTCCAGGGCTAAAGTCCATAAAATGAATTAAGAAACACATAAATTTTTATCATCTGCGACGTGACGGATACATTTTAATTTACTCAAGAATGCGTACCCTGATACATTAAATCTAATTCCTGTCTTATTTAATTTCACAACTTTGAAAAGGAATGTATGAATAGCTATAAAATGATGAGAAGATGTTTTATGGGTTGCTTCCATTTTTCTGAAATAAATGAATAAATATAATGTTTATAAGTTTTCATATCTTTTATGTTCTTAATAACGAATGGTATAGACCTTTCAACTTCGTCTTCCTTCGTGCTGTTCTTTCATATGAAACATTATTGGTATCTTCAATAATGAAACCACAATCGCATAAAATTTTATATGTACCAATTGTTTCTTTTATATTTTATCTAACAAATCAAAACTTTATCAACACCTGTACATTTATTTAAATAATAATTTGTGTAAATATCATGATCTTCTTTCTTAATCGTATTAGTTGCATATGTCACGTTTTTAAGAGCTTTTTTGAATTTCTCAGAATCGAGAGGGTGAAAGTAATATACATGGATAATCTCCATCGTCAATAAACTGAAGCTTATGTTTATGAATAAATTTTGTGCCTTCTTCTGAAAGTGTTTCGTCAATATCACCATCTAATAAATTTTTAGTAATTCCAAAAAGTAATTTTTATATCTTTCCTCATGTGATTTTTGAACTTCTGATTCTGAAGCTGGGATATTCATTAAACCTCTACTTCATTCTCAGCATTTCTCAATTCACTAATTCTTCATCTATTTCATTTCTTAATTGTTCCAATTTCTCAATCTCATCGTTATAATATTCATCTTGTTTAATTTTTTCTTCAAAATATTCAGGAGGTGTTTCAAGGCTCTCTGAGCCCAGGTCCTCTGGACCATAAAGAGGAATATTCTCCTGTTTTTCAACTTTTTTGGGATATAAATATCTCATTATAGCCTTTTTAGTAATTGGTCCGTTATATTTAAATTCATTCAACAATCTGGAAAACTCTTTCACATTCTGCATATATGTTGGATAAGAACCGTCTTCAAAATTTTCTAAAATATTTTCTAATTCTGAATTAGTGAACTTTAAAGATTTCAATGAATTAGTTGTTATACTCATTTATTATAAAATAAAAAAATCTAACTTTATTTTTTCGGAGTTTTGTGACGAAGTGCGAATCTTCACTTCGTCAAAAATATATTCTTTTTATTAATGGTAATATAGGAATTGTAGGAATAAAAACTTTTTATAAATTATTCATAAATTTTTAAAATCGGTTTCATACAAAATAAAAATAAATTTTCATAAATGTAAGACATGAATTTTTAAAGTTTATTTTTTTTATTTCATTATGTATGGGCTGAGTGTAAATGTCTTACAATTTTGAAAATTTTTTAAATCTTGATTTATTCAAAAATGTAAGAATAAAAACCGTAAGAATCATACATTTTTTACTTCATATGTTAAAAAAAATGATACAAAATCGTTCAATATTGTATGAATTCTTACGTTTACAAAAAAAGTCACACAACCCTTCAACATATACTACTGTAATTAAAAAAAAAAAAAAAAAAAAAAAAAAAAAAAAAAAGGTAGTGGGGCCTCCAGGCACTTCGTGCCCTCTAGCCCTGAAGATGTTTAGTATAACTTTGTCCGGACAAGTAAGGGTCTATCGTCGCTACAGGAAAAGTTACAGGCGTTCCAAGGAAGTATACTTTGAGAAGCCTTCTTCTGGGTCGAAAACATTATATAATGTTTCGCTTTTCACAAATTATATATGTTTTCATGTTTTGTCATGACTTCTTCGTATATGTTTTGTCATGACTTCTTCGTATATGTTTTTGTCATGATTTCATCGTAAATGTTTTGTCAAGACTTCTTCGTAAATGTTTTGAAGAACTGAAGGTGTCACCAGGTCCCTCGGTCCCTCGGTCCCTCGGTCAACTAACATCTTTTTGAAAATGGTGACAACATGACATTTTGACAACAGTCCAGGAAATAAACTTCTTCTTCGTAAATGTTTTGTCACTTTTCTGTCACTTTTCTGTCACTTTTCAGGAAAAAACATTTTTATTATTATATATAAATGAATTTTACAAAACCACCGTTACCCTTCTTTGGAAATAAGAGTAGATGTAAAGATATTCTATTGAGAGAACTTAAGAAACTACCGAATGGTCTAACATTTGTAGATTTGTTCGGTGGAAGTTTCTATATATCCCATTTGTGCCATACAATATTCCCAGACTCAAAGATTATATGCAATGACTTCGACAACTATATGGACCGTCTCAAACATATACCAGACACAAACAATATATTGAAAGAGTTAAAAGAAAAGATACCTATAGGTAAGATGGAACGTATACCATTAGATAAGAAAAATATTGTGAGAGAGGTTTTGAAAAAAGCAGAATATATAGACTGGATAGTATATCTGCTAGACTATTATATAGTGGTTCTATAAGAGTTCATGACATTGAAACACTTATGTCAAACGTTTTATATCTTAACTATACAAATGTTTTCAAAGAGGACATAGAAAAATATATTGAGGGTATAGAGTTTGTGAGATGTCATTGGACAGAGTTGTATGAAAAATATAAAGACAAGGAAAATGTTTTCTTTATAGTGGACCCGCCGTTCTATAACACATGGGATTTTCAATACCAAGTAGACTGGACTTTGAGAGACTCTTTAGAAACTTTAGACGTTTTACATAACCATCCATGCTTTTACTTTACATCCGATAAAAGTGGTTTGGAAACCGTTATGAGATGGTTAGAGGACATACATGACTATGAGTTTAGATATGACAAGATAGAGTATGAGAGAGGTCCTATAAACCGGAGAAAGTGTCATAACAAAGAAATTTTATTGGTAAGTAAATGTGGTTTGAAATAGGACTACTTGTTTTAGGTTTTTTCCATTGTGTCATTTATTTATTTGACGTGGCAGAAAAGTACAGAGAATATGAAGATGAACCAATGTCTGCAAATGTTCAGCATATGTACTCGTAAGAGATATTTTTATCTAATATTAAATGGACGCACAGAACTTAGCGAATGCACAGCAACCTGGACAACCAAACCCAGAGAATATTCCAAATGAAGTTAGAATACAAACTGCAATGGCAAACTATGGTCAAGTGCCAACAGATGTACAAATGCAAACTGCCATGTCAAATGACGCTGCGTTAGGTTTGCCACCATGGTATGCAAATATGAGATGGAAAGAGTTTTATACAAACCCTGAAGTGGGATATAAACAACTTTATGCAGATGACGCGAACACAGGAGTTGACCCAGAATATGTTTTCTACCAGAGGAGAAACAGAATGTATGAGCTCCAGTTAAAGAATGCTATGGAACTCAACAGGAAACGTAAGAGACTAGGCGGACATTAGATTTTTACATATAGTAAAATGGGTTTCTTCAGTAGTATTGGAAACTTCTTTCGAAATGTTGGAAGAGGTATATGGAATGGAATAAAAACCGTAGGAAGAGGAATTTGGAACGGAGTCAAAAATATTGGTAAAAGAGTAGGTCAGTTCGTTGGTATTATACCTAAAGACCCTGAACCAGAAGAACAAGCTCCTGTTATACAACAGCCTGAACCTGCACCACAGTCTAGTTGGCAACCAAATCCAACACCTCAACCGTATTAAAAAATTATATTTTTACCGTTCGATAGTAGTTGTATATGAAACTAAGTTCTAAGTAAAACGCATGGTATAATGGAACTATTCTCTTTCTTCCATCTGTTGTAAACCATACTTGAAAGTCTGAAATACTTCCACTCGGCGGTTCATATAGCTTTGTAGGTTTTTCGTAAAAGTCATTTGCCAAGCATAAAAAAGAGTTTTGGGCGCCAGAAAATGAAGCATGAACGATAATAGCATCTGAGTCGAAAACATTTTCATATGTTCCATTAGGGTTTTCGACTTCATAAAAGTCCGGGTGTACTGGATATTCTGCAGGCTGATTTAACATCCTCAGAAATCTATACCATGCCAAGTTGTTATATTTTGTAGAAATATAAACGTTTTCTCCAAGGTCTTCTATTCTATTGATTTAACAGTTGCATTTTTCCTGTCATATATAATATCGAGATGGTACTCTCCCTCGTCAATGTTATACTGGTTTGCATATTCGATATAGATGTCGTTTATTTTTTCTTGAAAAGCTTGAAGAGTTGTTTCTAAGTTTACAAGCAAATTCACTTGTAAAAGTTTTCCCTGTTCAAATTTCTCATACGTATGTTTTTCTTTGTTATAGTATCGAACTTCAAAACCGACCGTAAATGGGAAACCATGTATGGCTTCTGAAATGAACTTCATTCTACGAAAGCCAATAGCTTTTGTGACGGATGGGTCTCTTAACCATCTTAACGGGTAGTCAAAACGATAGCCTTCATGCTTTACGGTCTCTGTCTCAAACTTTTGACCTACATTGGTAAAAAGTTCATCTAATGGTTTAGTTGTAGCAACTCTTGAATTTTCTTTTTCTATTGAAAGCATATTTTATCTAGAATAAAAATGTCAAATGAAACAGCGTCTATGAGAGAAATACAACACAACCGACAACTCATTATACAAGCTCTAAATAAGAACACAACAAACTTTTCAAACTATTCTAAGATATCTGAGTCATTGAAAGAAGGAAACTTAAAACTGACATTAAACCCAATGACAGATGAGTTTCTATTTCAAGACAAGAAGAACAATACTGTCTGTATAAATCCAACAAAAGGAACTTTAAACGAGAAACCTATATCTGAACTTCTTTTGAAAGCAGATGTTGACAACAAAGCTGACAAAGAATATGTAGACGATGCAATAGCAAAAGAAGAAGAAAGAGCTAACAAAGCTTATGCAACAAAAGAACATACTCATCCTGAACTAGCAGACAAAAAATATGTTGACAATAAAATGTCAAGTGAAGTGACAAGAGCTGAAAACGAATATTCTAAAAAGACTCATACACATTCTATATCTGAAATAACAGACTTAAACGTTAGCCTTGAAAAGAAAGCAGATAAGGAATGGGTGGCTAGTAAGTTAGAGAAGAAAGCAGATAAGGAATATGTGGATGAAAAAGATAACGAAATGAAAGAAAGGGTTGACTGGTACCATGAATGGACATCGAAGATTTTAAAAAGTAAAGCCGATACAGGATGGGTTTCAGGATGTTTAGACCTTAAAGCGGATAAAACATATGTTAACGATGAGTTAGAGAAGAAAGCAAATAAGACTCATACACATACAAGTTTTACAACTTTTACAGCAGATGATATTACACTAAACACAACCTTGCCAAGTAAAGCTCCAACAATACCACCGGCAACAAGTCTTGTAGATACTTTGATATCTAATGACAATAGTATTATACATCTAAGACAGGAACTCAATGTGCTTAAACAAATTTTGCCGAATCTTATTTACCCGGTTGGCTCTATTTATACGTCAATGAACTCTACCAGACCAGAAGTAGTACTTGGTTTTGGAACTTGGACTCAAATAGTCGACAGGTTTTTGTATTGTGCAAACTCTTCAAAGGAAACAGGTGGAAGTAAAACGATTTCAGGTGCAAATTTACCTGCGCACAGTCACTACGTAAGTTTAACTACATCTCGAGAAGGTGGGCATAGGCATAAATATTGGGATTGGACAGGAATGACAAAAGGTAAAGGATATGATGTTAAAGACAACGTTCAGTTTGCTATAAATTGTTACTTGGATAACACTGAGGTAGGAGGAGACCATACACATTTCGTTTCAGGGTATACGCAAACAACCGGACAAAGTAAAGACTACATGCCACCTTACATGACAGTTTACGCATGGTATAGAATTGCTTAGTCGTCATTTTCAACTTCTTTAGCATATTCGTCAGGAGTTGTCTTATATTTGTTAGGAACTGTCTTTGAAAGTATACCACCTTGAACTTTGACAAGTTTGAAACGAGGTCTGGCAATAGTAGTTTTATCTTCTGCTTGCAGTGTGTACATTTTGCCATGTTTGCCTAAAACTTCATAATATTCTCTTGTATACTTTCTTCTATTTTTACGAACACGAATGTGAGTACCTGTCGGGTTCCCATTGTTGTCATAGTCAATAGTATTTTCATATGGGTCGCGTTTAGGTATTTCTATTTTTACTTTGTCACCTTTCTGAAGTTTGAAGCCCGGCATTCTTTCTTGTTTGTCTCTTTTGACTAAATTATTAAATTATAGTCTTTCTCTAAGTCAGGGTTGTTTTTCATTTCTTCGGGGGAGTGGTTTCCCAAACCTTTTTGTTTACGGCTATTGTAAATATTTAAAACTTGTCTCATCTTTGCCATGGAGAAGTGTCTATATTTGTCGTCATATGACATTTCATTTGCTTCACCACCTTGTGGTTGGTTTAAGTCTCTTAACATTTTTATACAACCGTCAATGACACCAAGAGCAGAATGGTTTTGGTCGACAATGAAATATTGGTTTACATTTTTTGAACGCAGATAGTTTTTAATATCGTCTGATTTGAAAGAACTTTCATAGTCAGATGTCAGTTTTGTTGGATGGTATTTGTCAACGAATATTGTCAAAGCTGCTAAGATATCTAAAATATTTTTGGACTGTAATGGTATGGCTTCACAGTATCTTGTGTTTTGACCAACAAATATTAGCCAGTATGGAGGTCCATCTTCTCTATACCTCGGAATGTTTTCCAAGATATCCATAAACCAAGCATTTGGTGTTGAACTAAAGATTTTTACCATGAGTGCTTTCTTTGTCGCTTTAGAAACATAGGGGTCCTTGTTTGGATTCGTCATTTTTTAACCCATAAGAAATGGGTTTATTTGGCGCATTAGCAGGAGTCGCATCTAGATTTTTACCCGCAGTGGGAACAATAGCCAGAGGTGTATTTGGAGTTGGAAGGAAGATTTTGAGTACATTAGGTATACTTAAAGAGAAAGCACAACCTATTATACAAACTGTACAGAAAGGTTGGGATGTAGCACGAGATGCAACAAATCTTATTCCAAATCCTGAAACAAGAGGAAAAGTTCAAGGATGGATGGACAATGTAGGAAGACAAGCAGGAAACTATTATAACAAAGCAAATGACTACTATAACCAAGCAGGACACTATATGGACCAAGGTGAAAGATTCTTTAACAGAGGATATAACCATGCACAACAGTGGGTAAACAATAACCAACCTCAACCGCCTCAAACGTGGGGAATGTAAAGTTTTTTACTGAGATGAAGTGAACAATACAGCATTGAGACAAATGGGTTCAAGATGGATTTGTCGGCTTCCAGCAGTTACACAACGTGTTTGTCAAGTTCTTCCTATACCTCAGGAAGTTTTAGACCGACTTAAAAAACAACAACAACCAGTTGAAAACAAACCAAACTAAAATTTTTTACTGAGATGAAATGACCGAAGAAGTTGAAACGGTAGATTTGACACCACAAACAAAAAGTTCAGAACCATTGTCAAAACCTGTCAAAGAACTTACAGATGAAGAGAAAAATTCAATAATAGAAAGTGCCAGGTCTGGAAATACAAACCCTAACTACAAAGTCACTTTTCATAAAAATGGAACGGCAAGTATCTCAAAAAAGAAACAGACTCTCACAAATAAAATATTGAAGTCTGAAGGAGCTTTCGAGACAACAGATGGAAAAGTTTACTTCACTGACCAACAGTTCATTATAGAACATCTCATTGACTTAGAGTCGAAATATTCTAAACTTTACAACAAACACAAAAAGTTGAAAGGAAAACAAAAACAAATGGCATATGATATTTATGAAGATGTTGACGACACAACTATTCCTGCAAGTGAAGTAAAGTCAAAGGAACCGAAAAGTGACGAAAAACCAATAGAAGAAGAGAAACCAAAAACTGAAGATAAACCAAAACCAAAGTTTAGTTTGGAAACTAAACCAAGTCAACCTTCATTAGCTGGTATGGGTTGGCGTCAAAGACTTATGGCAGCAGGCGGTTATGTAAAGTAAAGAGAAAAAAAATATTTTTTTATTTTATTTGAAATGTACGCTGAGTTTGTTGGAGAAGACCGTTGGGAAACTTGTTTGTTAGATGAGAAATATGAAATTCACTGTTGTGAGTCATTTGAAGTCAGAAACAAAAAGACAAAAAGAGTTTTAAGCGAATGGGAGCGAAATAACGGATATGCTATTATGAAGATGAGTGGAAAAAACTATTTTAAACATATTGTCATTGCAACTCATTTTATACTGAATCCTAACAATTTACCTTTTGTAGACCATATAAACCATATAAGAAACGACAATAGACTTGAAAACTTACGTTGGGTCACTCGTTCTGAAAACAATAAGAACAAAAGCAAAATTGGAGATATTGTATTCGAATTTGTCGACGAACTAGAAGATGAAACAATTGAAATTACAGACTATGGCGAGCATACGTTTGAGTTTTACTACTATAGCGAAGAACAAGACTCTTTCTACTTTTATACCGGCGTAAACTATAGGAAATTACAAGTATATTTTACTAAGGAAGGCTATGCTTATGTAAACACTAGAGATACAGATGGAAAATGCGTTAAAATACTTCTTAACAAATTCAAGAAGCTATATGGCATACCATTTTAAAACCATATATTTTTACATATATTAAATGCTTCAGGTTGAAAAACAAAGAACAAAAGTAGCAGATACAAAACCGTTAGACTATATCTTTACAAATGCTGGTAGGACTGTTTCAGATGAAGAAATTTCATCCCGAGCATACAGGTTTAACTATCCAATTCGTTGGCTTCAAAGTCCTTCAGATGCAAAGGCAATAGGATTTAGAAGAGTTTTGTTTTCAAATAGAACTAACGCGTTTATGTTCGCAGTATATTTTCATGGGCAGTATAAAGGTTCTGATGGTCTACTAGACAAATTTGATGAAATGAGAATCTTTACAGTTCGTTCAGACGAAAGTCTTGAGAAAACTCTAAATGACTTTCAAACTCAAATAAACAAATATTATTGGGAATTTCAAGAAAAATACGACTCTTTACTAAATGGAACGTACTATCTGAAACTAGAATATGACAAGATGAACTCCACCGTTTCATTTCAAAAGATTGAAATTAACCCTCCAAGAGATACGGAGTTTTTATTTTGGGGAGTAGACAAACGTTCTTGGGCACAATTTCTTCGGTTACTAAACCAGAACGAACCATTACCACCAGATGGTCCATTTAAATTTATACTTCCACCAGCAGATTTGACAGTTTATAGAAACGTGTTCGACCCTCAAAATGTTATGTGTCATGCAAGTTTCAGTTCAAGCAACAATAGTTTTCTATGTATCGGTAAGGACTTTTATGACTTTGCTTCTAAATTCTACGAACCACCTAGTAACAGTTTCTCTGACTTTCAAGTTTGGTTCACAACAAATGGTGTGCAACATATAATACCATTGTACTATGACTTTTATCTCGAATTGTCTTTCATATACAACTACGGAAAAGTGCTGAAAAAGTATTGAAAAATATATTTTAGGTGAAGTGGTGAGATCTCACCTCTTTTTTCACCCGTTGAATTTTCATGAATTTCCTTAAGATAGAAAAAAAGTGAGTTAAAATGAGATTTTTATCGTTGTGGTCCGACGGTTAAGCCACAAACGAATGTCCGACGTACCACCAAAAATATATTTTAGGTGAAGTGGTGAGATCTCACCTCTTTTTTCACCTCTTTTTTCACCCGTTGAATTTTCATGAATTTTCCCGAAATAAAATAAAAAGTTGGTTTTTTTAAAAAAATATTTTTTATTTTTATTGTAAGAACTGAAATGACAGTCGAAGCAAAAACGTTCACGAACAAATCTAATGGCGAAACATTCACAAAAGGCACTTACAACGGTATTGAAGTCTTACGTAGAGACAAGGATGGTTATATAAATGCAACAAATATGTGTCAGCAGTTTAGGAAAGACTTTAGAAGGTTGTTGGAAAATAAGTCCTGGGAAGAGTATTTTAAGGCATTTTGTGAAGAATATACCAACCCGCGGAATTCCGCGGGTTGCTTTTTATACAAAATTCATGCAGGAATTCCTGATGAAATCAAACAGGTTAGAGGAACGTATGTAGACCCAAGACTTGTAAACTATATAGCAATGTGGGCTTCTCCAAAATATTGTATAGCAGTTGGAAAAATTATGGACTCCATAGACAAGAAAGTTCATGAGAAATTAGATGAAGAAGAACTTGAAGATACAGTAGAGAATGCTAAACCTTTGTTCGAACAAGAAGTTAGAAAAATGTGCGAAAAACAAATAGAACATGAACATGAGATGTGTTATGGTTATAAAGATTCTCCATACGAACTAGACCAATGGGAACAAGAAGATTTAAAGAGAGAATTTAGAGAATATGAACTCGCTAAGATAGCATTTGAAGCTGCAGAAAAGAAGTTAAAAGTTTGGGGTCGTTTTGTACAAAAATATTGTGAGTAAATGAACCATTTATTTTTATTGAATTCGGCAAAAATATATTTTAGGGTAGATGGTTTTTAGGTGGAACCAGGTCCCTCGGTCCCTCGGTTAAACGAACTTCTCTGAAAAAGTGTGACAACATGACATTTTGACAACAACACAGGAAATAAACTTCATCGTATATGTTTTGTCAAAAACTTCTTCTTCGTAAATGTTTTGTCACCCGTTGAATTTTGTATAAAAAGCAACCCGCGGAATTCCGGCGGTTGGTATATTCTTCACAAAATGCTTGTTTTGTCAAGACTTCATCGTATATGTTTTGAAGAACTGAAGGTGTCACCAGGTCCCTCGGTCCCTCGGTCCCTCGGTCATTTTAACTTCTCTGAAAAAGTGTGACAACA